AAACTGGGGCTGTAGCACCTTGCCAGTGGTTCCCTGCAGGCCTGGAGATATTCCCTTTGCAGGAACAACTCCTCCCCTTGCAGGGACAGCTCCTCTCCTTGCAGGGACAGGTCTTCCCTTCAGGCTGAGGAAGGAAGGTGATTCAGAGGACTTGGTGTGTCCTAACAGTTCAGAACACGGTGTCCCTGCCCATGGCAAGGGGTTGGAATTAGATGGTCTTTAAGGTCCTTTCCAACCCAAACTTTCTGGGATTTTATGAACATCCTGGTGAATCCTCGTATTGAGGCTGGGATCAGGATTTGGGCATAGATCCTCCCACTCCTACTGATTCAAAGCAGACCCAACATCCCATGCCCTTTTCCTGGCCACAGCTCAGCCAGCAGGTACCTCTGGAAATACCTGACCTGCAACAGCAACAGGCACAGTCCAGGGTGTCTCATTTTCCCCTTCCTGAGGGATTCAGACGCAACACCTGGAGCAGCAGCCCCTGACCATGTGCAGGAAGAGCCAGCCTGGGTCTGGAGGGGCTGATGCTGAGGTTGGGGTTCATCTGCCATCAGTGGGGACCCACAGGTGGTCCCACCCCTGCCTGGGTCTTCATGTGCTACCTCTGCTTCCACCTGGATTAATCAGACTCTGTATCTGTCTGAGTCCATCTCTTTGCTGAACCCTTTTCCCAACTTTTGTCTGGCTGTTCATAGGGTGGGTGAGATCCTGCCCTGGGATCTTGGAGGCTGAGCCAGCCCTGCCTGCTGCTGGGCCTGGACACCAACCCTCAGTGTCTCAGCAGAGGTCTAGATCTCAGGTTTTCCCACCTCCATCTCCCTCTGGGGCCTTTCTACCACCTTCCAGCAGGATTGTGCATAGCCACGGCTTTATTTGCTCCAGGATGATGTAGAGCAGGGTGTGTGGCTGCACAGGGGGTCACACCAGCACGCTGACAGCTCCCAGGGGACCTGGGGGGCCACTGTGCATGTGGGGTGCTGCCAGCCCAGCCCTGTGAGCCTGACCTGAAACTGCTGCCTCTCTCTCTTGCAGCCGCGTGAGAAGGGGCGGATGCGCTTCCACCGGCTGCAGAACGTGCAGATTGCCCTGGATTTCCTGAAGCAGCGACAGGTAAGGGCTGATAGAGGCTCATCCAGCAGAGCTGGATGGTTTGTGGTTCTTTCTCCTGGCTGGGGCTTGGGAAGGGTGTTGAGAAGCAGCATCAGCCCGTGTTGGGGTGTGCCCATCTCTGTAGTGCCAGTGCTGGTTGAGGATGACTTAAGGGGGGCTTTTCCCCATGGGTGTTGTGCCTCTGAAATCCAGCCATGCCCATAAAACCTACTGTGAAAATGAGGTACGAACTCCAGTTCTGGGAAGAGGTTTGCAAATGTCGCCAACAGTGATGTCTGTGCCCCGAAAACCTCACCTGGGGCTCCTCAGCAGATCCTGGTGGTGGGGCTGGGCCTTCCCACCAACTCTGGGGGGGGATGTTGGTTCTGGTTCTGCCCAACCCCCACAGCCCTGGCCTCACTGCTGGCACAACCAGGTGCCTCTGTGGCATCACCCCTCCAGATGTCAGCATGGACTTATTATCCTTCAGGTTTTGGAGGACAGGCTCCCTCCCCTGGGCTTTTGGGAGCTGCTGGCCCCACCGTGCCTGTGCAGCTGGCAGAGACCAGTCATGCTCCGCACCCCTGGGCAGATCCCGCCCGGAGCAATGGGATGCATCCCGAGACTTGTTGGCTCTGCAGGTGAAACCCCCGCAGCCCCGGGGCCAGGTGTCCTGTTCTGCCTGTTGGGTCAGGTCTCCCCACCGTGATGCTCCCAGATATGCCAAGGCGATGATGATGATGGTGATGATAAATTGTACCAGTTCATGCTGAAGCAGAGACTTTTCTCGCTCGTTGCTTGCCTGAGGGCACTGAATAAATTTGAGCACATTCCCTACTCCAGGGAGGGCGAGCCGCTTCCAGCCCCCCGCCTCTTCCTCCTCCCCAGCTCCCTGATAGAGACATTTTGCCAAAGGGCTCTGGGGAACTTGTTTCTCCACTTGGATGAAACAGCTTTTTCCTTTGAAGTGTGATGGATGGCCTGGTGGCCTTGCTGGGATGTCTTACCCCAGACACTCCTGCCAGAGACTGATCGTGGGGTCCCCTTGAGTGGTGGGGAGTGAGGACTCCCCTGAGGGAGAAGAACGAGGGCAATGCCTTCATTAGGGCTGATTCATTAGAGCTCAGTTGTGAGCCCGGGATGGAGTTAAACCTTGGTCATCCCCTTTTAGCCGTGCTCTGTGGGCTGGAGCTGCTCAATTATGCACCAGTGCTCGGGGCTCTGGGGACGCTGCTCTGTGAGCTGAAGTAAAGCCATTAAGTGCTGGGAAGGCACTTCTGGATGGAGAGTGCTGGAAACATGGAAAAATCCTTCCCGAGCCAGGAGATGAGTTTGGCCTTGCTGCCTCCTTGGGAAGTGCTGGGGTGTTGTGTGCCCGCTCCCCAGGGAGTGCTCGGGGTGGGACGGCGCGGTGGGGGACGCGTCCCCCTGCTCTCAGGGTGGGGCTGACGGGCAGCTCTGACCCTCCCGTGCCTTTTTTCAGGTGAAACTGGTGAATATTCGCAACGATGACATCACGGACGGCAACCCCAAGCTCACCCTGGGGCTCATATGGACGATCATCCTCCACTTCCAGGTAGGCTGTGGAAGTTTCTCGCTGGAGGCGGCGGGGCGGGCGGCGTTGTCTCTCTGGGGTGCCAGTATCCATGTTCCTGCGTGTCCCGTGGCGCTGCCGGCATGCGGATGGGTCTGGAGGGTTGACACGCACTGCAGTGTCATGGAGACCGTGTCGGAGAACAGCAACACCCTTTGCTCATCGCCTGCATAATGGAAGCATTAATGATGGGCTGTGTGCGGTGGCCTCCCGGCTGGCACCGGGGTTGTTGGCAGTAGCTGTTTGCTCAGCTGGAGGCTCTGGAGAAGAGCAAATTCGGAAGGGGCCACGGGGCTGTCATCCCCGACTCGTTCCCGGCCCTTTGGGTGGTCGGTGCAGCCACAGGACTTGTCATTGGGATGGAATGTGTCAGCTGTGTGACAGTGGTTCAGGGCAGAGGCGAGAGAAGCTGCCTGACCCGGGACCGTCTCCAGCCATTGTGTGCTAGGGGTGCTCTTGGAAAAGAGGGTTTTGGGTTTTTAACAGCCTCCAATTATCCTGTTGTAGCTTCGATGCCCTCGGGGGATTGATGTGTGGCCCCCAGTGCCACCAGTGTGTTGGCATGTGGGGCTTGCTGAGTGGTGCTGCTGTCAGCAGCTCGTGGCTGTGTGGCATTGGCTATGGGGTCATCTCCACTGTGGGCCTGAGCCTGTGGGAGCTGCTGTGTCCCAGCTTCCTGCTGTATCCCTGCTGGCATCCTCCAGACAGGACTAGTGCTGGCTTTGACACTTAAGAAGGAAGATTATACTTTTTTGGAGGATGGGCAGTGCCTCGGGAAGAGGCTTTTGGGAGGAGCGTGGGGATAAGCTGGGTGTGAGGCTGCTGACGAGGCACTGTTCCTGAGCTTTGGCCCTGGGAAGCGGCCGGGGTCGAGCAGGCTCTGGATGCTGATGAGTCACCGTCATCTCCAGTGGGGCCCTGGCTGTGGCATCTTGTCCCCGCCGTCCTTGCGGTCACCCTGCCCTGGTGCCTCCTCTGCTGCAGGAGACCCCAGAGGGCACATCAGGAGGTCCTGGGTCCCCTCCAGGCCTGGCTGGGAGGAGATGCTGCCACTCTGCCGTGGGGGACGGGGTGGGTGACACAGAGAGTGGGGCTGGTGCCACCAAGCCTGCGCGTCCTGTCCCCGCCTGCGCTAACGGGATTTTTTCTGGGGTTGTAGCTCCATTGTGAGCCTCTTAATCTCCCGTGTCCCAGTGCTGCTGCCTGGGGGCAGGCGGCTGGGAGAACCCGGGAGAGGTTTGTGGTGGGATGGTGCTGTGGCAGAGCCCAGGCATCATCAGCTCTGCAGGGAGCTGGAGTGGTGAAGATGAGATGGGGGAGGGGTGTCTCCCCCTGCCCTGGGGGGCTTCCCTGTGCCCTGGGAGCTCCTGTGGTCACTGGTTTCCCTTAGTCATCTCCTGGGTTGCTCCTCGCTGATTGTTTCCTCATTGAGTGTTTTTTCCCTGCTTGCTGGGGCTGTGCTCAGTCCCCCCCATCTTTATGCCTCTTGTTCCCCAGTTTTTGTGACCCCCCCACTTTGGGTACTGCCCCACTTTGGTTACCCTGCTCTGAGCTGGTGAGCAGAGTTGGGATGCTCCGTGCTCCTCAAACCCCTGCCCTTTTGGGCAGTGTTTGGGGCAGAAGCTGCAGGAGAGAGGCAGGACTGGTGCTGGAGTGGGATTGGGAACATCACGCTGCCGCTCCTGTTGGGACCCTCCAACTGCAGCTCCCTGAAGCGATGCCATGTCCCCAGGGCACCTTGGGCTGCCCAATCTGTGCCCCAAACTGGGCGAGCCTGGCAGGAGCGTGGGCACGTGAGATGGTCTTCTGGGGCTCTTGGAATTAGGAATTAAGGAGCAAACCTCCCAAACTGGAGAGAAACACCCCTGCAGAGCCGGTTGGCGAGCATGCAGAGTCACTCTGACTCCTCCCTGCCTTTTTTTTTTTTTTTTCCCCCATTTCTCTCCCACCCCTTCCTTTATCCTACCTTTGCCAACCTTCCTCGGGTTTTGTGTTTTATCCCCCCCTTTCCCCACCCTCTCCCACTCCCCTCCTCGCTCCGCTGCCTGATTCCTGCTCCCCTGTTTGTGTTGGCAAGGGCCGTGCTCCAATTACCTCATATTTGGAGAGAAGGACGCCGCAGCCAATCCCCGCTCCCCCTGCTTTTAGGTCAAGTGATTTCTGAACTGCAGTGAGATGCTTTGAATTTGTCTCCTCGCAGCGCCCAGGCTGTAAGATGGCTGTCTGGAGCGGCGGCGGTGGCGGCAGGGCTGGCGGGAGGGACGGCGGCGAGGGGCAGTCCGTGGAGCGCCGCGCGCCGGGCGCTTGATCCGATGAAGCCCGGTTTGGGATTTATTCGGGAGCCGGCGACTCGCTTGGCTGCGTTACTGCCGGCACCGAGCGGGAGGAGGAGGAGGAGATGGGGAATTCGCTGGGCTGCGTTAAAGAGCAGAAGGAAAAAGCCGTGGGAAAGGCACCGCTGTCTCCCAAAAAAAGGGTCCGCTTCAAACGGAGGCGGAGAGGGAAGAGGAGAGCGATGCCGGAGGCAGCCCCGCAGGAGGAGCCCCAGGCGCTGGAGGTGGCTGAGGATGAGGAGGCGCCGAAGTCGAAGGCAGCCCCCCGGCAGGAGGGAGGAGAGGAGCCCCGCGGCGGGGACCCCGACCCGTCGGCGCTGCACCCCGGGATCATCGTGCAGGTGAAGGAGCGCTTCCAGGGGGAGGTGCAGAAAGCTCGCCTGGTGCTGGAGCCGCAGCGGCCGGGTGTGGCGGGAGCTTCCCGGGAGGAAGGCACCACTGTCATCGCCCGCCTGCTGGAGAACCCGGCCGAGAAGGACTGCGAGAAGGCGGTGAGCCGGCTGGTCGAGCTGCAGAGGAGCGGCACCGGGAGCTGCTGGGCTGTGCTGCTGCCCCTGCGCGGGGGGACCGATGGCCACACCGGGGGGCTCCTGTCCCCGGCCAGCGCCGTGTCCGGCGAGGAGGCAGCGAAAAGCCGGGAGCCGGGGGCCGGCAGCGCCCTGGATGCCTGGGGGAAAGGAGGCAGTGATGATCCCAGCTCCAACGCCGCATGGACCTGCTCCTCCGCTGCAGAGCCGGGCACTGTTTCGGAGCTGTCTACGCCGTCCCCCATGGTGGATCAGCTGGAAAACGCCAGCGTGGGGAGAACCTCAGGGTTGCCCTCGTCTCGGTCTGGGGAGGGAGATGGGCATGGACTGCCAGCTTCCCGCAGCCCGTCCTCCTTCAGCGCGGCCCGGAGCTCCTCGGGGTACGGCAGCGACCCGGCGCACCGGCCAGCCAAGGGCACAGGAGCTGGTGGGACCACGGTGTCACCCTCTGATGGTGGCCACAGGCTCGCTGCGGAGGGCTGGGATTGGAGGGGGAGCTCGGGGACAGCCGGAGCAATGGTCAGTGTCTGCGTGTGCCCTCACCCCCTTTTTGGAGTGGGGTGGGGGGATGTGGTTCAGTGGAGCCCAGATCCTGGCGGCCCCCAGGGATGGTCATCCCAGCAAGGGGCAACCTCGTGCTGAGCGCAGGCTGGTGCAGAAAGCTCCTGAAGCCTTTTCTCCTCCAGCATCTCCTCTGGGAAAGCATCCCTGTCCTGTCTTCTGCTCCTGGCACGGGCAGACTGAGAGCGGCCGTCACAGGAGCTGCTGGGTGCGGCTGGCAGTCACACAGGGTCTCAGTGCCATTGCTGTCACCAGTGACACACGTGCTGGGTCACTCAGGGCTGCTGGGTCAGGTGTGAGTTTGTGGTGTCCCCTTCCTGCTGCCTGTGCTCAGCTCCCAGGCGAGTGGCAGTGGGTGAAAGTGGAGACATGGGGGCTCTGCCTGCTCCAAGGGGTTCTCCAGGGGGAAGAGGAGGGATGATACTGTGTTTTGGAGCTTTGTTGCTATTTGGAGATCGCTCTTTTGGGAGTGACAGGGTAGGTAATGGTGCCCTTGGGTTTTGTCCAAGCTTTGCACACCCCAGGGCAAGATTCGAGGGGCTGTGGCCCCCAATACCTTTGCTGGGTTGGGACCAGTGTCACAGGCACTATTTGGCCTTCAGCATCCTGCCACCAGTTGCTTGATGCATGAGGCTGATGTTGGAAGGCTTTGGCCCCAGGTCCTGCGAGTTTCCGCTCTCTTTTCTCGCTGGTGCCTCCCTAAATCTTTGTCCTGTCACAGAGATGTGAAGAAAGGAGGGTGGAGCTGGTGCCGCATCCTGCACCTCTGTAGGCGCGTCTCTAGGAGGGTCTCCTGCAAGGATGCTCTCAGGGAAAAGGCCCAGTGGTTGGAGAACCCCAGTGCTGTGTCAGTGGTTAAAAATAAAGGATTTATCAGAACTGGGTGCTGCGAGGTGCTCCCCAATGGGCAACAATGCCTGGGTGGGGCACAGCCCATGGGGGGGTTCACAGAAGGGTTCATTCTGCTCTTAATTAAGAGCTGTCAGATAATTAATAAGGGGGTGCTGAGCAGATGGAGGTTTGTGGGTCTCTTCCTGCTCCCTGCAGACGTGGAGGGTCCCATCCTGCATCCTGCTGCTCACCCAGCTCATCGCCCTATCCATCCTGGCTGTGCCGCCAGGTGCTAGCTCCCGACATCCCTAAGGAAACCCAGCCCCGGGGCTGGAGGAGTTAAAGGCAGTGCCGGCAGTGTGGCAGCAGCTGACAAAGAGCAGTTTTATGTGTGATGAGCGTATCAGGCTCGGGAGAGGGAGGTGAGCTGCAGCATACCAATTACACCGGCAGCATCCGCCCCGCCGGCGGGAGAGACGGATAATCCTGCAGGTCCCCGTCTCCTGCCTGCAAAGGGGTGTCTGAGAGCTGGGACCTGTGCAATGCCAGCACCCAACTGGGTGTGTTTTGAGGAGGAATCAAGCAACTGGGTGTTTTCAGGGCGGCGGGTGGGGCTGGGTCGTGGCACACCTTCTCCCTGCAGTGCCGGGAGGAGGAATCCAGGGAGCAGCCAGCCTGCGTTGCCTTTCCACAGGCACCCCGGAAAATCTGAGCGGCTCACATCCTCCCCTTTGTCTGCCCCTTAATTAAGGGGAGGTAACTGTACTAATTGGGGAGCTGGAGGTGGGGGAGGGCGAGGGGGAAGCCGTGCCAATCAGAAATATGCTGGCATGTGGAGACACGTGCGTGGTGTCACGTGCCAGTCTGGGATTCGCAGCCGGTGCCGTGCGTCCGTCTGAGGGGTCCGTGACTGTCGGTCTCTTTTGTTGGGGAAGTGGGTCATGGCACCCCTGCCACCAGCAACCCCTGGCACCCACCTCTCCGGGCACAGCAAGGCAGAGGGGGGATGTGACAGCCTTGTCCCCATCCTTCCCTTTCCTGCTGGGATGCAGTTGGTGGCCCTGCTCCATAGCTGGAGATCGGGGAGAGATGTCCTCTCCAAGTGCTTCTTAAGTTGATATTTTTTAAACAGGATGATCCAGGTGTGCCCTGGAGCTCCAGGTGGAGCATCCCCTGCCCCACCTGCAGCCCCAGCAAGGGATGGTATCAGTGGTCCCTCCTTGGGTGCTCCCTTGCTGCCCACCCTGGGTGCTGTTGGATGGGAGCCCCAGGTGTCCAAGGGTGCTGGGGCTCCTTGTGGTGGGTGCTGGGCAGGAGGAGCAGATGTACAAGAGCATTGCTGTTGGCACAGCGTGTTTGGGACAGGAAGGGACCCGCCTGGGGCCTCCTTCTCCAGAACATCACGTTCCCAGTGAGGTGTGTCCTGAACCCTGGCTGGTGGGGATGGGGATGGTGCAGAGGAGTGGCTCCAGTGGTTGTAGGAAACAACTGGAGTCTGGTGGTGGCAGCTCCTGTCCCAACTGGGTTGGGCTGCACAGCCAAGCAACACCTCTTACCCCTGTGAAATGGGGTTGGTAAATGTCTGGCTTTGCTTCCCTCACCTGCCTGGATTTCCAGCCTGCCCAAACCACGCCACACCCCTGCACCCTCCTGCAGGTCCCGTGGTCCATTCCCAAATTTGCCACCCTTCTACCCCACAGTGACCAGGAGTTTCCTCCTGCCCTTCCTGGCAGCTGCCAGGTCTGGGGCAAGTTCACATGTGCCTGGTGGAGCCTTTCCTGCTCCTGCATCATCCCGTGGCTGTGCTGCTTCCTTTCAGATCTCCGACATCTACATCAGCGGGGAGCTGGGGGATATGTCAGCCAAGGAGAAGCTGCTTCTGTGGACACAAAAGGTGACAGCAGGTTACATTGGGGTGAAGTGCACCAACTTCTCTTCGTGCTGGAGCGATGGGAAGATGTTCAACGCGCTCATCCACAGATACAGGTAGGCAGGAAGGAGCAGTGGGGAGCGTCGTGTGGGTGGGAGGAGGGATGAGGATCTCCTGGGGGTCCCTGCAGGGAGCAATGTCATTTCACCTGGAATTATCTCCTCTACCAGGTAGCTGGAATTGCTTGGAATTACTTGGAATGAGCAACAAATACATCAGTTTGCAAGGAAAGAAACCTGTCTTAATGAGGTTGGGGAGAGAGGCAAAAAAAGAAAAGCTTTTAAACTCTTGAGTGCTGCGGTGGTTACATGTCAGTGCTGCCCTTTTGTTTTCCATGAACAGCAGCGCTTCCATCCCTGTTTTTATCCAAGGATCTCAGGGCTTTCCTGAGAGCTTTCCTTGAGGGACAGCAGAGCCCTTCACACCTTCTGCCTTGCTCAGCATGGGCAGTGAGTCAGAGCTGGGACCAGCAGGGCTGTTTTCTGCCCTGGCTGCTTGGTCAACAGGACCAAGAGGTTTTCCCTCACAGCCTGAACCTCCCCCTTCCCACAGGGAATGAGCAGGGGAGGTGCTGCAGCCCAGCTCCTCTCAGAGAGCCACCAACCTGGGACAAACCCTCGGAGCCACCCACGGCAGCGATGCCTGCCCAGGATGCTCTGCCCTGAGCACCTCGTGCTGTCTGCCAATGTTGTGACTCTGGTGCGTGTCTTGCAGGCCAGATCTGGTGGACATGGAGAGGGTGCAGATCCAGAGCAACCGGGAGAACCTGGAGCAGGCCTTCGAGATCGCCGAGCGCCTGGGGGTCACGCGGCTGCTGGACGCTGAAGGTGGGAGGCTGGGGGATGTGGCTGGTGCAGGGAAATGCTGGAAATTCCCACCCACTCCTGTTCCTCACTGCCTTTTCTGCTTCCCCCTTGTCAGATGTGGATGTCCCCTCTCCGGATGAGAAATCCGTGATAACTTACGTGTCTTCAATCTACGATGCCTTTCCCAAAGTCCCTGAGGGAGGAGAAGGGATCAGCGCTATTGTAAGTGTTGCTGTGGGTTTGGGAGGCTGGGAAAGCGGTTTGGGAGGCAGCTGGTTGGTGTGGGAAAGGCTTGGAGGTTCCCTGTAGCAAGTGCCCACGGAGACTTGCCCGCCAGCAGTGCTCTGCAAAGACGCTCTCACCCCACAGGAGGTGGATTCGAGGTGGCTGGAATACCAGACCCGCGTGGAGTCCCTCATCTCATGGATCAAGCAGCACACGATACTCATGTCAGACAAATCCTTCCCCCAGAACCCTGTAGAGCTAAAGGTGGGTCCTGGGCAAGGCCCATCCTCAGTGTCCTGTGTGCTCAGTGCCGAGGGAGGGGTGGTGGCATTCCCCAGGGTGGTTCCTGATGAGCCTCTCTCATCCCAGGCACTTTATAACCAGTACATACACTTCAAAGAAACCGAAATCCCAGCAAAGGAGCAGGAGAAAGGAAGGATAGAGGAGCTCTACAAACTATTAGAGGTAAGGATCATCTGCCTGGAGGCTTGTAGGTGGGAGTGTTGTGCTTTTAGCAAGACTTAAGTGTGCTCAGTTCGGGTTTGTTTTGGAATGGAGAAGTGGGAATAGCCCTCAGGGTTAATGATGTAGTGAGCAGCAAACTGTGGGAGCAGAAGCAGAGCTGGTGCCTTATAAGGCCCTTTCCTCGCTGTAATCCCTAACCAGCTCAAGGAAGAGGTGGGAAATGCCAATCTGTTGATGTTTTCCCCAGGTATGGATTGAATTTGGACGCATCAAGTTGCCCCAGGGCTACCACCCCAACGATGTGGAGGAGGAGTGGGGCAAGCTCATCATAGAGATGCTGGAGCGCGAGAAGCTGCTGCGGCCGGCGGTGGAGAGGTTGGTGCTGTGGCTGTGGAAGGGATGTCTCCTGCTTCCCTGCCCAGAGGGACCTCCCAAGCCTCTGTCTCATCTTCCTCTGTCATTCCAGGCTGGAATTGCTGCTACAAATCGCTAACAAAATCCAGAATGGTGCTCTGAGCTGTGAAGAAAAACTCACTCTGGCGAAGAACACACTACAGGCTGTGAGTGGGGGTGGTGTTTCCCCTCCTAATTTTATTTGCTTCTTTGTTTTCCTGCTCTTCTTTTGTACCTTTCTCTTCCCCTCCCTTCTGCCTGGGGTGGTGGATTTCCTTAGGTAATGTTCCTTTCTCTTCTGCCCTTTAACCTGTCCAAGAGGGGCTAAAGTGGGGATGGTGGGTACCTGGTGAACTGTGGTTGTTGTGGAGGATTTGGGGGTCAGAGTGGCCAGGGAATGATCTTGCCTTCTGGGGATGGAACTGTTGAGGCTGAACATCTGCAGAGGTGCTGGTGTGGAGGAGAACAGCACTTCTGGGAAAACATGTCGTATAATGAAGCTTAAAACCCCCAAAATGTGTTTTATTTGCCTAAAGGACTGGCAGGAAGGACCCTGGGTAGGGAGGAGGTTTCTGAAGAGGGCTTTTTTGTTCTGGGAGAAAGAGATGTTGGTTGAAAGGGTTGGGAGCTAAAAATGGTGATCCCATCTATCCCTAGAAACTTTCAGTTCATCTGCAGCAGTTTTTTAAGGGGGTGTCCTGGGTGGGGTGTGAGGGATGAATTCACGTTCTGCTCAAGTTAATGCTGTGGATCAGAAGGTTTTTTCAGTCTCAAGGCTGATGCTGGGCTGCTGTTGTGTTCTCCCTGGTTCTTCTGGGCTGAGGGGACCCAGCCCTCAGTGTCCTCTGTCCTGGTGCAGGATGCTGCTCACCTGGAGTCAGGCCAGCCGGTGCAGTACGAATCCGACGTGGTCGTGTACCTGCAGGAGTGCGAGGGGCTCATCCGCCAGCTCCAGGTGGATGTGCAGATCCTTCGGGATGAGAACTACTACCAGCTGGAGGAGCTGGTGTTCAGGTGAGAGGGACTGTGTCTGAGATGCAGAAACGTAGTCAGGGGCTGCCTGGGGCTCCTCTGCTCTGTTCTGGGGAGGGAGGAAGCGTGTGTGTGTGTCTCATTCCCCATTCCTTGCCTGCTCCCCCAGGATCATGAGGCTGCAAGATGAGCTGGTGACACTGAGGTTGGAATGCACCAACCTGTACAGGAAAGGCCACTTCTCCACCCTGGAGCTGGTGCCCCCGTCCACACTGAGCACCACACACTTGAAGGGCGAGTCCCTGACGAAGGGGCTCCACACCTCCTCGGCCTCCTGGTTCAGGAAGCCCATGACCAGGGCAGAGCTGGTGGCCATCTCCTCGTCTGAAGATGAAGGCAGCCTGCGGTTCGTGTACGAGCTGCTGGCCTGGGTGGAGGAGATGCAGGTGAGTGCTGGGCCAGATCTCCTGCCTCTGCTCACGCTGATGTGGGAAGGCAGGAAGCTGCTCTGGGTGGTTTTCCTGCCTTTATTTATGGATGATTGCTTTGGTGGCTCAGCGTTTCTGGAGAGCTCTTTCATCTTGAGATGGGTTTTCTCTCTTGTGGTCCTGCTGATCAGCAGGTACCAGGGGAGCCTTTCAAAGCTGGAAGCAAATCTGTATTGATGCAGTCAGTTGGTCTTATGTGGGCAAGTGGTCTTGTGTAGGCAGTCTCAAAAGTCATTCAGTGTTGGAGCACTGGCTTAGGATCTTCTGCCAGGACTGGGTGGTGTTTGTTCCCTCTGAAGTGACTTGGGAGGTTTCCTTGCCCTCGTGTCCTTTTGGGATGAGCTCCTGCAGATGAGGAATGCTGACTTGAGCCTCTTGGCCTGTTTCAGATGAGACTGGAGCGGGCAGAGTGGGGGACCGACCTTCCAAGTGTGGAATCCCAGCTGGAGACCCAGCGGCACATCCACACCAGCGTGGAGGACCTGGGCTCCAGCGTAAAGGAGGCCAGGATGTACGAGGTATGGCAGGGGCTGGGTGACACAGTGCATGGCATGACATGTGCAGGGGGGTGAGGGCATCAGGGTCAGCTCTGCTGGGTGAAGGTGCCTGGGACAGAGATGTTTTTTAAGGGTGGAGCTTCTGAATTGACGCAGTGCAAGAGGCTGCTGCCCTGAGCCAGCCTCTCCACCTCTTCTTCCTCACACAGAGCTGGGGGAGAAAGATGTAGGGATGGGGTTTCAAGTGATGCCATCCTGTGTTGGGTAACAGGAGCATTTTTTGTCCTTCAGGGTAAAATGTCTCCGAATTTCCGCGCGAGCTACACGGAGACGCTTGGCAAGCTGGAGACGCAGTACTGCAAGCTGATGGTGAGTGGGCTTCTAGAACTACCCCAGCTGGGCTTCATCCTTGCTGTCCTGCTCCTGAGCATCCCTGTTCCAAGACTGGGGAGGGGGGAAGACACCCATTGCCTTCAGAGCAGGGAAGGGGAATGATCCTTCCTTGTGTCCAGGAAACCTCGAGCTTCCGACTGAGGCACCTCCAGAGCCTGCACGGGTTTGTGTCTCGGGCCACGGCCGAGCTGATCTGGCTGAACGAGAAGGAGGAGGAGGAACTGGCCTATGACTGGAGCGACAACAACCCCAACATTGCAGCCAAGAAGAACTACTTCTCAGTGAGTGGGATGGTGGGATGGGCGGGGGTGATCTCCTGGTTGTGCTGCTGCTGCTGCTGCTTTATCCACTGTGGGACCTTCAGCTCCCAACAGACCTGAATTCCCCAGGGGCTGGATGCTCCCTCCCAAGTCGCTGAGCTTGTAGCTCCTGAGTGGAGCTGATAAAAGTTCTCCCCAGAGCAGAAAGTGCAAAAAAAAGCGTGTGTTCAATTGAATTTCAATCAAAAAGGCATCAAAAGATGTATTTTTAGCACTGTTTGGAATTGAAGGCACATTTAACTAGTGGAGGGGAAGTAAAGTCTGAGCTAAAGAGGAAAATTGATTCCTCTTTAAAGCAGTATAAATAAATTCCCATCTTTCCACAATCACACTGTCTGGAGCTGAAGAGGTCCCCGGGCAGGTTTCCAGTATCTGTGTTACATCTGCCCTGTGTGTTTGGCACACGGGACGCATTCCCGATGGGAACGGACCACGGTGCTCCCACAAGCTGTGCTGGAATCCCTGGGATACTCTGGTATTCCCTGCAGCTCTTCCACGCTGTGTTGGTTTGGACACGTGGTCTGAGTGAGGTTAACCCCCCATAGGTGAGATTTGGACTTTGCTTGTGTCCTTCATGCAGGAGCTGATGGCGGAGCTGGAAGAGAAGCAGGACATCTTCCGCTCCCTCCAAGACACGGCCGAGCTGCTGTCCCTGGAGAACCACCCAGCCAAGCAAACCGTAGAGGTGAGCGGGCACCTGGAAGGACTGGGAGATTCCTGAGAACCAGCTGGCAGCATCATCTGGGATTGGGAGACTTGCTGTCCCACCCCACAGTGCCTGATAAAGTGTTTTGGGGCGGCAGAACATCAGTGCAGTGATAGAGCTGTTTTATTTTGGGAAGTGCAATGAGAAGCTCGAGGCCGTTCCCAAATAATCCCCACCTCGAGTTAAGACACAAAAATGCTTGCACAGAGTATGAGCCTTTCCTGCAGCGAGGTGATACAGACAATGGCCTTGGCTGCCCTGGAGTCATTCAGGCTTCCAGGGATACTGTGGTGGTCAAGCAAAGGGCTGCAGGGACTTTTTTCTCTCAGGGGTTTCTCTCTGGGTTGGCAGAAAGCAAACCCGTGCATCCCACAGCCCCTGGAGTCGTGTACCTGCGGGTGTGTGGGACACCGAGATGTTGGTGGTCCAGGGTCTGCCATCTCCTGCTCTTCCTGCCTGTGTCCAAACCCTCCTTGCTCATTTATGCCCCTCCTGCCCGTGTCCTTCCCGTGACCCTCCTGGCTGTCAGTGCTCCTCATCCATCGCTGTTTTCCGCGTGTTTCCCAGGCGTACAGCGCGGCCGTGCAGACTCAGTGGCAGTGGATCAAGCAGCTCTGCCTGTGCGTGGAGCAGCACGTGAAGGAGAACGCTGCCTATTTTCAGGTATTTGGGAGGGGCAGCCCAGATTCCCATGGTCACCCTCCGCTGAATCCCACTGCGTGAGCTTCCTGTCCTGCTGTTCTCTCTGGGGGAGAGGGAAGGAGGATTTGGGGTGCTCAGGGTTTCTCCTGGATATCTCTTAGCTGCCCTCTGGGGGTAAAAGGATCAGCTTCCCTGTGGTGCAGGTGTCTGTGACCCTTTTGCCTTCGCAGTTCTTCAGCGACGCCCGGGAGTCGGAGACGTACCTGCGGAACCTGCAGGACTCCATCAAAAGGAAGTATTCTTGCGACCATAACACGAGCCTGACGCGGCTGGAGGACCTGCTGCAGGACTCCATGGTGGGTTCTCCGGCATCCCACCACCCTGGGATGACTTCTGGTCCAGCAGCACTCTGTTTGGGGCACCTCTTGCTTCCCAGGGAAAGCTGGGCTCTCTCTTCCCACGGTTTGATGTAACGTGGTTTGTTTTTTTCCACCTCGATCAGCGTTCTGCTCTTCCTTGGAGCGGCAGCACGTGTTTGTATGTGGCTGTGGGGTGCAGCTGTGGGTGACCCCAGCTGTGTGGTGGCTGGATCTTGGTCACTACCATGTAGAGGCACCATCCAGCCTCTCCGTGCCCTCAGGGTGCAGAGCAGGTTCCCTGTGCTGCCTGTGCGAGCTCACGGCCTGACCTCTGAGCCGGTTCTGCCCCATCCTTGCCCATCGTGCCACCCTGGTTGAGTTCTGCTGACAAAGCCTGCAGGATTCTCCTGGTTCTGCTTTGGAGCTGGTGGGATGTGGAGGAATGCCTGCTCTTTATCCAGCCCAAATCCCACGTTAATCCATCGCGCTGTTGGGGGGGAGAGCCAGGGCAGCCCGGCTGTGCCAGGGCTTGATCTCTGAACACGTGGCCTGACTTAGCTCTGGCACAGCAGAGAGCAGAGGCCAGGCCATTGCTCTGTCATCTTCTTGTCTGAATTGGCCTGAAAAAAACGACCTAAAAACAAACCTCGAGGAGCAAAGCAATCAGCTGGCGTTTGAAACCAGGGTCAGGGGAGGATTTGGGCTGTGGGTTAAATGCTGAGCTGCTGGTGGAAGGGCCAGGAGGTGACATGTGTGTGGTGTGGAGGCAGGAATCACTTGGACTTTGCTCTTAGTGCGCACCAGTGATCCCCAGTGTGTCTCCAGTGACACTGGGATGCCATTACTGGGTGTTTGTGATGGGACCATCAGCATTGTCCTCTTTCCTGGAGGCCTGGGGGCTCCCCCATTCTCTCTGTCATGATCTCAGGGTTGTCCTGGTCTGTCCTCCAGCACTGCCAGAACATGGAGCAGCCAGCATGGCTCCTGGGGTGTGTGTCTGGGAGCCCTGAAACACCAGGAGTCTGGGCAGGTGCTGTCTGGGGTGGGAGAGGCTGTTCTGGGCAGCCGGAGAATGGCCATGATCTCAGGACTGGGGCAGCTGCCCTGAGCTCAGCTTTATTACTCTTTCTTACCTAATAAGTTAAAGTTGTATTTCTTCCAATCATGCTCCCTGGGACAGGCACAGGTAGTTTATTTAATCATTTATTCTTTTCTTTTTCTTTTTTTTTCTTTTTTTTTTCTTTTATTTTAACCATTAAATTATCCTCCACTGTCGTCAGCACACTAACCAACCCCAGAGTACCGAGCATGAGGGAGGACATTTTCTGGGATCCTTTCTAAACCTTCGCAGGCAGAGCGGGCTGAGCTGTCACTAATCACATGAGCTGCCGGTGCCGTGATCCGCACACGTCTCCGCCGCCGCTGGAGGCTGTTCCAGGGGAGCTTTGCCACCAATCCCCTGGGTTTTCCCATCACCAAACCCAGCAGGGATTTGTAGGAATCAGTTACACAGCGTTTTCCTCCCACCGGCGGATTTCTCCCCAGACCCAGAGGCCTGTGCGGTCACTCCACCACTCCAGCCCCTTCTCCCGAGATGTTTTATCCGTGTAATTCATCGTATCCCATTCCAGCCATTGGTTTCAACATGCCCTCACCCTTTGCTTTAGAGAAGGGAGCATGCTTCTGTGGTCTCTCCTCCAGACAACTAAATGTCTCCGGCTTTGGGCTGGAGCTTGTCCTGCTCTCGGCCCCTCACACCTCCTGGGACTTTAATTTTGGTGTATGTTGTGTTCTCTGTTTTCGCCCTTTTGAAAGAAAACATTTTCTTGTCCAAGCAGCCAAAGAGCCAGAGGTGTGCATGTGGCTTTGCAGGGCAGTGGGAGTAGTAGTGGAGAGGTCCCCACCCCGTTCTTCCTTCCATCCCATCTGACCCCTCTTCCCATCCCTTCAGGGCATCAGGATCCTCCTGATGTTTGTTCAGCCCTTTCAGGCCAGCGCTGGGGTGGGGGGTCCTGAATTGCCTGGGAGAGAGAGACCTCCCCTCCTCAGCCTCCAACAACCTGTCCATCGTCCTTCTTTCTGCCAGGATGAGAAGGAGCAGCTCATTCAGTCCAAGAGCTCTGTCGCCAGCCTGGTGGGACGATCCAAAACCATCGTCCAGCTCCGGCCCCGGAACCCGGAGCACGTTGTGAAGAGCACGATCCCCATCAAGGCTGTCTGTGACTACCGGCAGATCGAGGTGAGGGCTCAGAGGGTGTCAGCAGAACTTGCAAAGGGAAGGCAGGGATGAGGCAGGGGAGTGACACCAGTGACGGTTTAGAATGAGCTCCACAGTGTCTTGTCAATGGGAAGCAGGAACAGAGTGGGAAGACAGAAGGAGGGAAATAGCACTGCTGTTTTTCCTGGAGCAGATTTCCATGTCTCAGATTTATTCTGGGCAGGAGCTGAAGTCCTTTCCCCCCAAGGAGGATGGGCTTCATCAGCCTCAGCCAAACAAGCACGTGGGTGGCAGCCAGCTCCGTTTAACTTCCTTGTCCCTTCCTCTCCAGGCACGAGTGTGCTGCGCTGCTTGGCACTATTCCAGGCTTTTGCTTGATTAAAATATATCAATCTGTGTATTTTTGGGAGCTGGCTCACCCCCAGGAGGGAGGGTGGCAGCGGGGGCAGGCGTGTGTGGCTCTGCTGCTGGTTTCTGATGGGCTGGTGGTGTCGGTGCTGCCGCAGATCACGATCTGCAGGAACGACGAGTGTGTCCTGGAGGACAATTCCCAGAGGACCAAGTGGAAGGTGATCAGCCCCACAGGGAACGAGGCCATGGTGCCTTCTGTCTGCTTCCTGATCCCCCCACCCAACAAAGAGGCCATCGAGATGGCCAGCAGGTACTTTGGTGGTCTCCGCCACGGCGGAATCACGGAGATGGGATGGTGGCATGGGAGGGGACGGATTTGGGGTGGGAATGGGAAAGAAGCTGGAGTGGAGGAACAGGAGTGGGTGGCACAGTGGCACAGCTGATTTGTGGCAAGGAATGGAATCTCTCGTGGTTCTAGAGCTGCAAATTCCCCAGCGCTGCTATAGCAGCTTGCAAAAGAGAAAATGACAATTCAGGAGGAAGGATCCCCCCAGGGATCTCTGGCACTGACCAGCAGGAGCATCACTCCCGGTGTGCTGCCAGACTGGGATCACTGCACTGACGGGCTGGAGGATTAACGGGGTCAGGGAAGATCCAGGGCTGACGGATCTGCTCCTTCCCCTTACAGGGTAGAACAGTTGTACCAGAAAGTGATGGCTCTCTGGCACCAGCTGCACATGAACACAAAGAGCCTCATCTCCTGGAATTACCTGCGGAAGGACATAGCCCTGGTGCAAAGCTTCAGCATGGAAAAGGTAAGGAGGAACTTCCGTGCTCGGCTCTGGGGTTGTGTTGCTCCTGTCTGGGCTCCTTCGTGTGGCAGAGGAGAGGGGGAAGACCAGAGTGTAAGGCTGGAGAAATCAAGGGTTTTTTACACCTTGAGCAGTGGGAAAACCTGAACTTGGGGGTGCTGTGCAAAAGGATTGCAGTTTTTCCCAGCAAGAAGAGCATCAGGAGTTTGCTGCTGAGCTGAATAAAAGATGACAGATTGTGGATTGAGGGTTTCATTGGGCAGTGAGTGCAGCTGTGAGGAGGCATGAGGCTGATGTCGAGGGTTTGCCTTTTCTGCTCTGGAAATACTCCCTTGGCAAATGAAGGTGGTTCAGGTGGGGAGGGTGGCTGCAGGTGATGTGTGCAGGAAGTTGTTCCTGACGTTTGGATGTGCTGCTTTTCCACTCACAGCTCAGATCCTTGGCTCAAGGGGAGTGCCAGCAAGCCCTGAAGAGCCTCCAGGCACACTACGAGGATTTCCTGCAGGACAGCCGGGACTCGGAGCTCTTCTCGGTGTCGGACCGGCTGCGCCTGGAGGAGGAAGTGGAGTCTTCCAAGGAACACATCCGGCAGCTGCTGGAGTCCATGGAGAACGGTGAGCTTCAAAGGGCTGATGGTTTAACCAGGAGCTGTGGGAACTCATAAACAAAGGATTTATAGGATGGCTCCATGTTCTTCTTTTCCCGAGCTAACTGGCTGATGGTGTGAGCAGCTGCTCTACTTATTTCTCCATCCATCCATCCAAGTGTTTGTCCCTTGTCCAGCAATATTCCTGCAGAGAAGTCTTGGCTTTGCAGCTTCAGCTTAACTACTGAGTCCTCTTAGCCTAATGTTGTTGGTGATGGGTTTAGTCATCAGGATGCATTCCGAGCAAGGGCTTCTTCCTGAGTTTAGTTATACATGGTGGTGGCACTTGTGACACCGTGAGTCCCCATTAGGACTGAGGACTCCAGCTTTGTCACATGAGTTTCCCTGTGGCTGGACTCGTTCTCAGATGTATTTGAATGAGATGATTTAATTGACTTGTTTTCCATCTTGAGCAGAGATCCCGGTGTCAGTGCGATGCTGTGCTCAGCTCCGAGGCTTCCGGCAGGCCCCGCTTGGGACAGATAACAGGCCGGGGGTGTTTGAGCTGCTGTTTTGTTTGCCTCTGACTTGCAGAAGACAAGGATGAGACCGTTGCCAGGACGTACCTCTCCGAGCTCAAGAATATCCGCCTGCGCCTGGAGGAGTGTGAGCAGAGGCTCGTGAGCCGAATCCAGTCCCCGAGCAGCGCCCGAGCAGATGGCGACACGATCCAGGAAAACACCATCCGCATTGCAGAGCAGGAGGTCAGGCCTGCAGCTGGGAGACGGGCAGGGGAGGGAGCTGGTGGACACTGGTCCAAAAATAGCTGTAGCTTCTCTGGAGTGAACGTGTGGGTGATGGGTGCGTGAACGTGCGGGGTTCGAGGGGATCTTGCTGCACAGAAGGCAGCAGGAAACCTCAGCGGGTGGGCTGCCTGCTTCATTTCCTACCACCTCCTTTGCCAAGGGCAATCCTGCTTTTCCTCTGTCTGTTTGGGCTCTCCTTTCACGTCCTCTCCCTCCCTCCCTCCCTCCCTCAGCGCATGCAGGAGGATCTGCAGCGGCTGCAGTCGGACCTGCAGTTTGTGTCCGAGAGATGCTACAGCTTCCTCGACAGGGCACCCACGGGGCCCAGCACCCCCCACCTGCGTGCAGAACTGGACTTGGTGGTGAACAAGATGGACCAGACACATGGGCTGTCTTCCATCTACCTGGAAAAGTGAGTCAGGACGTTCTTCTGTTCCCAAATACCTTTTTGAACCTGCCCAATTCACTAGAGACCCTTCTTCTGTCCCTCCAAGACACTTTGCGCTGGACTGTAACCAGGCTCCATCCCTCTGTGGCAGACAGTGCCAAACAGTCTCACGGTCAAGATCTCTGCCAAATTTTGGGTGTCATTGTGCTGCCTCTGCTTGATTTGCCAGGTTGAAGACGGTTGACATTATTATCCGGAACACCCAAGGAGCAGAATCCCTGGTGAAAGGGTACGAGGTGAAGCTGAGCCAGGAGGAGGCAGTTCCTGCTGACCTGGCGGCCATTCAGTCTCACAGGGCAGCGTTACAGGTTGGTGCTCTTGGTTTGTCAAGCAGGGTCCTTCCCTTTCTCTGCTGAATTTAGGCTGTGTGATGTTTTTTCTTGCCTCGATGTAGCTGGGAGGATTTTGTGCTGCTTATATGATCCCTTATTGTTTTGTAAAGGTAAAGAAACTGCTGTGACTTTCTCGTAGGGCACATGCTGGCCCCTTGAGCGTCTTGGCAGCTCCATGTCCTGTTGCTGTAGCACAGGGCCTGAACCAATCTGACTTGGGAACATGGTCCCCTTTGTTTTACACTTCCTATAACCTCCCAGTTCTTTGCACGTTAAGAAGAGTGGGAAAATAAACCCATGAACCCCTTCTCAGGCTTCTCAGCCCCCAGCAGGAGGACATCTCTGACCTAATGTCCCTTCTGCTTTCGGTGGTGAACCGGGGCTGTCTCTTGCTGGTTTTGCAGCAATGGCTCGGGGAAGTGAAGGACAAGGGCTCCGTCTTCTCCACGCTGGAGGAGGAGATGGCGAAGGCGAAGGCAGTGGGAGAGCAGCTGTACCGGCTGAGGCAGGAGCGCAACATCGACCTGGAGCGCTACCAGGAGAAGGGGAGCCAGCTGTGGGATCGCTGGCAGCGAGTCTGCGCCCAGATTGAGACCCGGTGAGGAACCTCCTGCCTCCCCCCTCGGATTTACTTTCATGTAATGGGATATCCCTGGCATTTCACCTTCCTCTTACTTGTCGTGGTTCTCCTCTCAGCCACACGGAGCTGGAGAGCATCCAGGAGGTGCTGAGTGATTACCGGCAGTGCCACAGTGCCCTGATCCATTGGATCGAGGAGATCACGGTCCAGCAGGAGCTGATGAAGCCCGGGCAGGCGGAGGACAGCCGGGTGCTGTCGGAGCAGCTCAGCCAGCAAACGGTGAGGAAGGACCTCGTGATGTCTCAGCACGGCTGCTGCCCTGACAGTGTCACTTCTTTTCATCTGTGAGCTTGAAAATATGAAACACAGCAGGGAAGAGGCTGCAGGCGTGAGCTGGGTGTCTGGGAAGTGGAGAAGCTCAGCTCGAGGTGAAGATGAGGTCTTGCATGAAAAAATTGAAGAACACGAAGATTTACCCAAAAGGGGGAGGGATGGGAACCAGAATTCAGCTCACCCTGCCATGGCAGCTGTCATAGAATCACAGAATGGTTTGGGAAGGGATCTCAAAGACTGTCTAGTTCCAACCACTTTCCATGGGCAGGGACACCTTCCACTAGACCAGGTTGCTCCAGCCTGGCCTTGAACACTTCCAGGGATAGGGCAGCCACAGCTTCTCTGGGCAACGACTCAGACAACTTGTCCTGACAACCCCTTTTTGTTTTGAATTTTATTGAAGGCTTTGGCTGCAGAAATTGAGAAGAATCAAGCCAAGCTGGACCAGTGTCAGAAGTTCTCCCAGCAATACTCGGCCGCCGTCAAGGTACAGTTCCCCTCCTGCACCCGGGTAGGACTGGCTGGGCAGAAAGGGCCGTGGCACAGTTTGTGTCTCTCACGCTCCACATCTTCCCGCCCCTGGCTGTGTTTTCAGGACTATGAGCTGCAGCTGATGACGTACAGGGCCTTCGTGGAGTCGCAGCAGAAGTCTCCCATGAAGCGCCGGCGCATGCTCTCGTCCTCGGATGCCATCACACAGGAGGTAGGAGCACAGCCACCCACCCAACCTCAGCAGGGAGAAACTGTGTGTGTGTTGGGGGGGTCCTTCGACGCCGAGCAAACCTACGAGCAGTCCCTGTGAAATGAGCTCCTTCTGCTGAACTCTCTTGTGTAAACAAAGTTTCCACCCTCGCTGTTTTTTCCAATAGCCACAGGGGATGGCTTAGTGCTCTAAGCACCAGGTATGACATACGTAGACTCCTGGGAACCCCTGGGAACCCCTGGGTCAAATCCAGCGGGGTCGGCTCAGCCCTTCAGCCTTGTGAGGTAAATAACCAGAGCACCATGCAGCGTTACTGTGTGTGGATCTTGGGGATGAGACCTTTAGGGCCCCGAGGTCCTGTCTGCTCTGTGTGGATATTAAAGATCCCGGTAGCCCTCTGTCAGAGTTGAGCATCCGCCCCAGTGTCCGTGGCCGGAGTCTCCCCTCGCTCCAGTGTCTTGCAGCATGGCATGTGTGGCCACAACCCTCCCCCATCAGACTTGCTGCATTCCATCGATGCCATTCTGGGTCTGCCAGGTGCCTGGGGGGTTCCCAAGCGAGAGGTGCCGCATCCATGTCACGTAACCCTGAAGTCCATCGTTCCGGATCCGCCGGCGGGACTGATGCACCCCCCTTTTCCCCCCCACTCTCTCCCTTGGCAGTTCATGGATTTGCGGACTCGCTACACGGCCCTGGTGACGCTGACCACGCAGCACGTGAAGTACATCAGCGATGCGCTGCGGCGGCTGGAGGAGGAGGAGGTGAGGGTGTGGAGCGGAGCTGAGCTCTGTCCTGAGCGTGCAGGATCGTTCCCTCCACCCCTGAGGACGCTGCTCCCTGTTGAGGTTACGCCTCTCCCTCTCTGGGAGATCCCCTTTGACGTGGTTGTCTTCCTCCCTCCTTGTTTTGTAGAAAGTGGTGGAGGAGGAAAAGCAGGAGCATGTGGACAAGGTGAAGGAACTCCTGGGCTGGGCCCTGGGCTTGAAGCAGAGTGTGCAAGGCAGGATGGCTGCTGCTGGGAGCAGAGAGCTGGGTGACATCGAGAAATCCATCTCAGAGCAGCAGGTAAAGCACAAGTGACCATCAGATGCTGAGGTTTAACTTCTGCTCTTTTCCCACAGCTGGATTAAGCTTCTTTCCCTCTACTTTTTTTCCAGGCCCTGAACGAGGAGCTGACTGCAAAGAAGGAGCAGGTCTCTGAGGCCATCAAAACTTCCCAAATCTTCCTGGCAAAACACAGCCACAAGTGAGTGTGACCCAAGGAGGGGACAGGCACAGAGAGCAGAGGGGTGGGAGTTGAGATTCCTTAGAGGTGGCACTGATGGGCTGGTGCTTCTGGGGTCCAGTGACTGACTCCAGTTGAAAACAATGATGAGCTGCATGTAACAGTTGTCTTCTTTCTTATCTGCAATGAAAATTATGAAAAGTGCAACCCATTTATGCTGTGGAGCAATATTAATCCTCTTTAGTAGTGATCCAGCCCTGTATATTTTGGGATTTGATCACTACAATGCAGGTCACTACCTCTGCTCAGTTATCCCTACAGGTTTTAGCTGGGCTGGGAAGGAGTAGGACTGTGGGAAGAGGGGACTCATGGTGGATTTGGCCTTTTCCTTCACCAGAAGAATGTGGTAATTCTTTGGAGGTGGTTTGTGCAGTATCCTGAGAGGTTTCCCCTTCTCCTTTCAGGCTTTCCCAAGCAGAAAAGGAACAGATTTCTTCTCAGATTGGTGCCCTGAAGGAGACCTACCAGGGGCTCTGCAACAATTCCTCGGAGCAGCTCCAGCAGCTCCAGAGCCAGCTGGCTCAGGAGACAGAGCACAAGGTACTGCTCCCATTTCGGTGCCGTGGCTGCACGGACACAGTTCACTCCTCAGGGGGTGCAAAAGGTTTCACTTTGTTGTGTGTCTCATGGCCACTGGCCACTCACAGCCCATCATCTCTCTTACTTGCACGTGGTTGCCCTCCCTTCTCTTCCATCCATGGTCACCCAGAGCATCCAGGCTGCTGGTCCCTGGAGGCCAAGCAGGAGCTGTTTTCCTGCTGCCTTCCAGGTCAGTGGGAGAGTTGTCCCTTGGTTTTCTTCAGAGCTCTGCCCTCTGTGCGAGGGTTGGCTCGTTCATGCTTGCTGAGCAGGGATGTAGATGGAATTCTGTCCTGGTAATGGTCCCCTTAGGAAATCTGTGAGGAAAATCCCAGAGGAATGTCCTTTCAGGGCTTTAACCTCAGAGGGCTCCATCTCACAGGCTGCCTGCCAGCAGGGTATGCAGGAAGGTGGGATTCGTGTGGCCTCATGGATCTCAGGCTCTGGCAAAGGGTTTGTCTCAGCAGTGGCTGAACCAAGTTGCTCTTCCCAGTGGAAGGCCACTGCATTGTCCAGCCCCTCAGCTGAGCTGGGAGACCTTCCCAACCCATTCCCTGTTCACACCCACCAGCGCTCCCGTCAGTCCCCGTCCTTGTTCCGCTGGGTAGGGAGGGCTGGAAGCGCATCCCTGTTGCCTCTGTTACGAGCTGTCATTCACAGATATCCGTGTGCGTGCTCTCTAAGTGTATATACATGTGTCGATGGATATATTTGTGTGTTTGCTTGCTGGCTCCCTGTACCCTGAAGCAACGGCCCGCTCGGATCTGGCTGCATGACGCAGGTTTTGGCCGCCGGGTCCGTGAGTGAAGCCCTGTTCGAGCTGCCCATGGGGAGAGGGCGTCAGGGCTGCCTGTTTGAGATCTACCTTCCCAGCTTTCACCTAAGTATATAGTGTTTTACTCCAAACTGGACTTTACAGCACATTCCAGGTGTCTCAGTGCTTTTATTGCAAACCCTTTAGCCCTGGTGCTGGCAGCAGAAGGGTGAGCGAGTCGGCTCGTTATTCACTGCTAAGCCATCACAGATTTGGTGCAGCCTGCCCGTGGAAAGGATGCTTTTTCCTTTCCCTTTTCTCCTGCCTCTTGGGCAGGAAAATTATTTTAGAGCAAAAGCCTCCTCCAGGGTTTGTCGGGCTGTTTTGGTACAGCATGAGGCTGCTTTGGGGCTGGAACAGTTTTCACTCACGCTCTCGATAAAGCCCAGGAAAGGAAACAAGAGATGGCAGTGGGGCTTCACCTTAGTTCCCCGTCTAGAAAACGATCCCTGCGGCTCTCGTGCGGAGCCGTTGCTTCACTGTAGAGGGAGCATGAAGAACTCTTTAACATTTGCTTGCTGGAAACATCCAACTGTCAGAAAGAAGTTATGAAAGGCCAAAAATGCCGAGCAGAACGCGCTAAATTGAGCATGATGTGTCCCTGTACAGTTTGTGTTTCATGTCAACTGTTTTTTGAGATTAACTGACATCCTTGCTTACAAGTTTAACTAACCCTCCGGGATTTAAACAAACAAAACACACAAAGGGAAAGAGGAAGACCTGTGTGTGGGGTTCTTTTTGCAAACAAAACAGTCGCATGCTGGACGCTAACACCAAGCTTTACACTGTGTGTGATACGGCTGAACTGCTCCATAAGGCTCTGTCTTTAACTGCTCAAGGCACACCCTGCAACTCGGTAAGTAAAAGCCTTTTACTCCCCTCCCTCCCATCCATCTCCTTTTTTATCTTTCTCTTTTTTCCCCTCCTTCCCTCTTCTCTGTCTTTCCACGGCTTGTTCATCTCTGAATATGCATGTCAGGGTCTGGCGATGGTGATGGAGAGCTTAGGTTGTCCCAGAAGGTTCCCCCTCTCCCCACAGCAGGGTTTTGGGATGGAAAGGAATTAATTTCGTAATCCTGATTCCCTCCTCACTATCCCCACAAAAATCTTTTAGTGCTTGGGTCAACTTTATGCCCAACCAGTGGGACCAGGAGAAACCCAAATGTCCAAAGAGCATTTGGATGAAGATACTCTTCATCATCTAAATTATTACCCTCCCTGTGGGGACAGCAGCAAGAAAAGGCCCTCCAGAACACCACAGCAGATGGCGTGTTCCCAGTCTGTCATTGTTTCCCTGCTGGGACCTTCAGCTTTTTCCATTTTTCCTTTGGCCCTGTCTGAGGAGCAGCTTCGAGGTGCTGGAGTGGGCAGAGCAGGTGCCATGGTTGTGCTCAGGGAGCTACCCTGCCACATGGCTGGGAGCTGCTCCATGGCCTGTGGTGCTCCCTGGCCATCCTGGCACTTGAGATTTGCTTGGGAAGTGCAGGATTGAGAGCATGGCAGGAATCAGCGTGTAGGCTGTGCTGGGAGAGGTTCTTACTCACCCCAAAGTGGACAACTTTGGGGGTTTTTCTTCCCTATGAGCGAACAGTGGTATTTGTGTTGTCTTTACCTTTTAGAAACTGGAGTTGTTGAAGGGCTTTATTGTGCTTGTTGGTCTCCTTCCTTTTTTTTTCCATGGAGCCTTGGGAGCACTTGTTGGTTTTGGCGCTTGCCGCTTCGCTGTGCTACTGGTGGTGGATATTGGAAGCATCTCGGTGCTGCCCTGGTGATGGACTAGATGAGCATTAAAACTTGCTGGCCATGTGCAAGCTGGCAAATGCACCAATTTTTGTGCTATGGTGGCTTTGGAGTTGCATTTCAAACACTTTGGGACTCACTTTCTAGCCTGTTTAGGGATTTTAAGCTTTATTTTATTTATTTATTATTTTTTGGAAACTGAGGCCTCCCTAGAACTCATGCAATGAGTTCTGGAAATGCTCGATTTTGATTTAATTCCTTTCCTTCTCTTTCTGTTCTAGGGCACCGAAGCAGTGGCAGGAGTGATCGATCTTGGCACAGTAGAAATATTCCCTGTCTTTGGTGCTATGCAGAGAGGTCTGATAGATCAGGACACGGGCCTCGTCCTCCTGGAGGCCCAGGTTATCACATCTGACTTAGTTGTTCCAGAGACCAACGAGAAACTCTCCTTGGAGAAAGGTCTGGCAAGGCACATCATCGATGTCAGGACATTCCAGGTGCTGCAGGAACTGAAGGATGCTCTCCACCAGGTGGAAGAAGTCAGACGTGAAGGGAGGCAGCTGCTACCCGTCGTCGCTGCGATGGAAGAGGGGAGGATCAGTGAGAGCATGGGACTAAAGATTCTCGAGGCTGAGCTCGTCACTGGGGGCTTTAAATTCCATCAGGGCAGGATCAGCATGGAGGCAGCGGTGCAGGAAAGGCTCCTCACCCCCCAGCTTTATTCCAGACTTCTGTCTCACCTGGAAGGCGGCAAGGATTTGATTGACCCCAACACTGCTGAGAAAATCAGTCTGGCAGAGCTCATGGACCGGTGCATCGTCCACCAAGAGACTGGGCTGAGGCTGCTCCCAGTGAAGCAGCTGGCGGGGGGATGGTGAGCTTGAAATCAGGCAGGGAGGTCAGCATCTTCCGGGCAGTCCAGGAAGGGCTGATAGACCAGCAGGTGACAGCCAGGTTGCTGGAAGCCCAGCTCTTTGCTGGTGGCATCGTTGACCCCAGGACGGGGCACAGGCTGACTGTGGATGAGGCTGTGAGACACAATCTAATCGACCAGGATTTGGCTTGCACGCTTCTCATCCGGCAGCTTCAGACGGGTGGGATCATCGACCCCGTCACGGGAGAGAGGCTGACCATTGATGAAGCTGTGAGGAAGGACTTGGTAGCGCCAAGGGTTGCACTGGTGGTCCTGGAATCCCTGCGGTCCTTCAAGGGGCTCCTGTGGCCAGAGATGGGGGAGATCATCTCGGTTGCAGATGCTTTGGAGCAAGGAATCCTGTCCACGGAGCTGGTTCACAGGATTCTCAGCACCAGGCAAATCATAAAGGGTGTTTTTATACCAGAAACCACTGAGGTGTTGTCCTGGCAGAGAGCAGTTGAACAGGGCATCTTGGAGAGAGATGTGGTGAAGAAGCTGAAGTCAACAGTCATACCTGATGTCATGGCCAGCGTGCAGCTCGCTGGCTCTCCAAGCAGGAGCAGGCATGGCCAGAGCTCTCCTGGAAGGAGTCCCACAGGTCAGGAAGAGCCCAGTGACCCCCTGCTAAGGAGTGACGATGAAAGGCTGATGTTCCACTTGATGACCCACAGCTACATTAACATCCACGATGGCCAGAAGCTGCTACTGGTGGATGGAGAGCTGAACAATCTCACTAAAGCTCTTATCCAAACCCAGGAAAATGGATCCTGTGCACAGAGTTTGGAAGACAGTGGAAGTTTTGAGGAGACAGAGGCAAAGGCAGCTCTTGAAAGTGAGCCCTGCAATGGTTTGGCTTTGCAGCAGCTTGAGCTTCAGTTTGCTCCCTCAAAAGAAGAAAGTGAAAAGATCCAACCACCCAGAACTGCTTTGGAGAATGGGGAGGTGGTGATGGGGCCTGAAAGTCTCCTCATGGAGGATGCAGAAGATGTTCTGCATGTGGAAGAGCAAGAGCAGATTTATACTGAACAGGTGACCATCAAGAGTGAACCTGATGCTGAATTGGGAAGAGAGCAGGTCATTTCTACAAGCAAGGACAAGCATCAGGTAAAATTATTGATGCCAGAACCTCCCAGTGACCTTGACAGTGGTTTCAGAGAAACAGAGGAAGTGATGATTGAGGCAGAAGAAGAGTCCAAGCTGACTCCAGTAGATGGAGTGGAAGGTACTGAAGATCGGAAGAGGTCCTTGGAAAGTGGGTCAGTGGTTGTGAAAAGTGAGATCTGCATAAGAATGGGTGTTTCAGAAAGTAGAGACAGACTGAAAACAGTGGCAGAGAGGTCTCAGAGTGTGGAGGAACCTGAACTGGAGGCCGAAGATGTAAGAGAGGTTTATTTACTGAAGGAAAAGGCAGTTGAAAATGGTGTGCTGGGAGGAGAGGAGGTTGTGCTCCCTGAAACCGGGGAGACAGCACGAACAGAGGGGCACAGCGAAGACATGGAAAGTGTGTTGGAAGTGGCAGAAGGAGAGGGGGAAGAAGTATTAGGTGACAAAGGTGTTGATGAAACATCCCTGCCAGGCCCTGAGGAGCAGGAAGCAGGGGACACTTTGGAAATGCTCTTAGCACAGCTCCAAAGTGGAGGCATAATCCACGAGCAGACAGGCAAGACGCTGCTTCTGAACGAGGCGGTGGCCTGCGGGGTGGTGTCCAGCCACACGGCCGTGAAGCTGATGGAGAGAATGAAGATGTTCACTGGCTTCTTTGACCCTCAGACGTGCGAGTCCTTAACCACTGAGGACGTCATTGAAGAAGGTCTGATGGATGAGAAGCTTCTCCAGAAGGTTCTCGCGTCCGACAGAGCCATAAGTGGCATTCTTGACCCGGGCAATAACTTCGTCTACTCCGTCAAGGATGCCGCTGCCGTTGGCCTTCTGGACAAGGAAACAGCCATGAGGATCTTGGAAGGGCAAGTGGTTACTGGAGGGATTGTGGACTTGAAACGTGGCAAAAAAGTGTCGGTCACTTTGGCTTCGAATCTGGGTCTCATAGAGCCAACAAGTCAGAATGAGCTGGTCAAGCTGGAGAAGGCTTCCAAGGGGAAAGGCACTGATGAGGCAACCAGACAGAGGCTCATGAGTTTGCAGGCTGAGACCAGTGGAATTGTGGATCCTAAAACTAAGCAGCCTTTGACCGTTGCAGAGTCTGTTGAAAAAGGGCTCCTGGAAAAGGAAAAAGCTCTTCAGCTCTTGACCAAGCAGGTTGCTGATGGAGGAATCATCCACCACGTGTCTGGAATGAGGCTTTCGGTGGACAGCGCGATGGAACATGGTTTGATTGATCAAGATTTATGTAACGAGCTCAGGAAGGCTGAAGGTGTGTGCCTGCAGGACTATGTCCATCCAATTACAAAGGAGAAACTACCCTTGCCCCAGGCAGTGTCGTTAGGGCTCATTAGTCCGGAATTCCAGAGGAAAGTGCAAGAAATCCAGGCTGGGAGCGGAAGTGTTTTCGATCCAGCTTCTGGGCAGAGACTGGCACTGTGTCAAGCAGTGCAGGAGGGCTTGCTGCCCCAGCAGGCGATGGAGAAGGTCCTGTCATCTTCAGAAATGAAAGAGGGAATTGTAGATCCCGAGACCTGCATGATCGTTCCCTACTCGGAGTTCGTGAAGAAGTGTAAAATTGACATCGAGTCTGGCCAGAGGTACCTGGAGGTCCATCCCTTCCGAGCCCTCAAGGATGAGGTGATGGGGACCAAGCTGACATGTGCTGAGGCCGTGAGGCAGGGGAAGGTGGACCCTCTGCCTGCCCTGAGGCTGCTGCAGGCACAGGCAGACACTGGGGGGGTGGTGGAGGGCACTGTCAGCAAGAGGCTGTCCCTGAGAGCTGCCGTGGAGCGAGGGCTGCTGGACGAGGGCATGGCCAAAGTCATTGCCACCAACCAGCTGAGGACTGGGGGAATTGTTGATGCCAGCGGTGGGAAAAGGTTGACCGTAAAGGAAGCTGTTGAAAAAGGACTGATTAGCCCAAAGTTGGCTGCCTGGTCTTCAGGATGCACGGGTACCCGAAGATAAAGATGGTTCTGAGGTCTGCAGGGCGGAAAAACCCCGACTTTCCCAGGAAAAAAAGGAAGACATCATCCTCTCTACCAGATCTGCCAAGAAGTTTGATGTTGCTGAGCACAAAGCTCAACCTGAAGCCCCGAGCTATGACACAGCTGGAGCTGCAGCCACTGCCACCAAGACATCCCCCGTAACACAGACAGAAGGGAAGTTAAAACCTCAGGAAGCTTCCAAGGATGGTGTTCATCCCCAAGATGAACATCACCATCATCCCCAAGCAAAGGCTGAGGTGACTCCAGAACACCCCTCAGTTTTAGGTGCAGCATCTTTCCCTGAACAGGTGGTGGTGGTAGGGGCTGTGGAAAAAGGGGTCACAAAAAGGAGCTCCCAGGTGAGAGCAGCCTGGGGGAAAGAATGGAGGAGAGAAGAAGTGGATGGAGAGACAGGGGAAGTAGAGGGATTGGCCTTGGAGAAGGAGCAGTTGGACATGGAGGTGCTTCACAGTGTGGAGGATGAGGAGAGGAGGAGGAGGAGAGACTCTGTAAGTGCAGAGGGAGCTGTGGCAGGTGCAGAAGGTGCAGTGGTGACTTCTGGGCAAGGAGAGAGAGTCACCAGCATGGTCCAGGTGACGCCAGCAGCCCTGAGGAAATCTGTTAGTGTGGGTCCAGGGAAGGGAGAGATGGGTGCTACAGAGTCAGGAGCACCCTCTGAGGTTGGTGGCCCTGTGGAGCCTGCAGGAGATGACCTTGCAGGGAAAAAAGCTGTCAAACACACTGAAGGACACACTGAAGGAGAAATGCTGAGACTGGGTGCAGGAGGTCCAGTTGATCAGGAAAAAACAAGTGAAACTGAGCTCAAACCTACCCAAAAACACAAAAGCAAGAAAAAGAAAGCAAAGCAGGACAGTGTTCCAGGAGACAGTGCTCAGCCAGAGAAACCTTCTGCAGAAAAGCAGTCCCTTCCTGTTCTTGTTTCCAAAGGAATTCCAGGGAAAAAGGAGGAGGAGGACTTTGTCTCAGGGGTGCCAGAGCCAAAACATGAAACCACCATCAAGATTACTGCTGGGTTGGCAAGAGACACAGCCAAGCCCAGGGGGAGCAGCAGGGATGGGGAAGGAAAGAAAATTTCTGAGAAGGATATGGAAGACCTTGGAGAGGGTGAGGTGTTCCCTGTGCCCCCCAAACAAGGGGAAACTGGAGAGGTGATGAAAGGTGGGATCAGGAATGGTCACAAGTCCTTGGTAACATTGAGTCTGGAGGAGGGGATGACTCGGGAAGACACAAAGGTGGAAACCATGCTGGATGTGTCCAGAGCAGCCCCTGTGGCAGAGGGACTGCCTGATGAGTTGATTATCAGAGAAGAACCCAGAGAAGTTCAGGAAACCTCTGCAGTCCTTGAGCCTGGAGAAAAGAAACAGCAAGAACAAGCAGCCAAGCTCACCACAGACCAAGGAGGTACCCCTGTTCCCCCAAAATCCCAGGGAGAAACCCCCCAGGAGAGGACCAAGCAGCCGGGTCCTGGCTTGCTGTTACCTGTGATAGTGGAGGGGGAGCTGCTGGAAACCTCGAGGGAATCCACGAGACCAGCCCAGGTAAATGAATACTTTTTGCTATTTCTGACCTTTTTTTTTATGAGCTAAATGTGTATGTTTGATGCTAAATCTGTGCAAGGTCCTTGGCACAGGGGGCAGCCAGAGCATGAGGAGTGGATGTTGCAGTATTGGCTGCAGTGGATTTGGCAAAGGATCTGGTGATGTACAACTGAAAACGCTCTGGGCTTAGCTGCAGCTCCTTTTGTTGGAACATTATTTCTAAATGACTAATGAGCAGGACTCTTTTTTTGGCACTTTTGCTGTAACACCAGAGATCTCTTGCCATTTATAAGCTTATGTTGGAAACAACCAATGTGTTTTATTTTTTCTGTAGTAAATCTTGTAGATAAGGCCAGCGAGGGGCAAGACCATGAGCTGCAATGTTATTAACAGATTTCTCCTTTGAAAAAAAAAAAAAAAGAAAGAATGATATATACCCCTTTGTTTTCTTTTCTGCCTAAATTTGAGGATTTATTTTCCTGTTTGATTCTGTAGATCAAGTTCAGCAAGAAGATGTGTCTGGAGCACGATGAGAAGCTGATATCTTATCTCTCCATGCTCCGAGATATCGAGATGAGAATCAAACGGGTGCAGCCAGCGGAGCAGAATTTGGCAGCCCTGCATGACCTGCTGCAGCAAGCAGAGGTGAGCAGGGCTGGGCCAGGCTTGGCTGGTGTTAGGCAGGACAGAGTTTGCCCCCTCCCTCCCCAGTCCTGGAGAAAGGCAGGCGAGCGCTGGCAGCTGAGCAGGGCTGGAGGGGGGGTGATGAATCTTTCTGGATGCAGTGCTTGGAGCTGCATCTCCAAAACCTTTGCTCGGTTTTGGCAGCAGGAAGGTGAAGTCACCCAGCCTCAGACATAACGATGCTGTCTTGCCTCAGGCCCTGGGTGCTGAGCTGCGGGAGCTGAGCTTCCCAGTGAACCAGGAGCTGGACGCCGTGAGGGGGATTGTGGCCAACCCCCCTGAAGAAGTCCCTGAGCAATTACTGAAGGCTTTGGAGAAGGATGCCAAGAACCTCCAGAAGTCTCTGAGCTCTGCAAGTGATGTCCTGGAGTCCCGGCTGCAAAACCTTCGTGGGGCGGCAGAAAACGAAAAGGTAGAGCTGGCAACTGTCCCTGCTGCCCCCACCTCCAGCACCCCAAAACTCCTGCTGTAAGTGATGCATGTCTGTTTTAAAGGCTAAAATCCTGGCACATCACGAGACTCTTCAGGGCAAACTGCAGGAGCTGCTGAGCTGGGTGTCTGGCACCGCAGAGTCGCTGGATGACAGCGATTATCACCAGGCGACCGATTCCAACAGCTTGAGTCGCTGCCTGCACCACTACAAGGTAACCATGGCAATGCCCCTAATCCTTGAGGCTGGTGAACTTGCTGCCCTTTGCACGGAGGAGAAGCTTTTAATCCTGCTTGTCTCCTGGAGCCTGCTGAGGGTTTGCCCTTATCCCGTGCTGCAGTAGGAGCCACCATACTGTATTTGCTCTGAGGTCACTTATTTCTACAATACACAAAGGATCTGCTTTCGCTGTTTAGGGAACATGCTCCACTGCAGGTGTGTGGTGGGGGCTGAGTGACCAGGAATAATTCCCATCAGGCTATTGAGAAAAGAGCTGCTTGCTCTGGAAGCCCCCTCCATCACACCTGCCCTGTTTCCGTCACCTGTACAAGGACCTCAGTCTCCCCTTCACATTTATCCATCTTCTAGTGATAACTTTAAAGATTATTTTCAAGTTCAGAGTCTCCTGCTTGTTGGTAGCATCTTGACATTGAAGTCAGGGGATCAAAGGCTTTGAGAACTGGTGGTGGCACATGGAGTCACCGTGACCTGGACAGGGCTGGTGGCAGTTCCAGGCCTGGGCCATCTTCAGACCCAAAGGCAGCCCTGCACTTATGCTCCGAGCAACCTCTTGGTGAGGTGCCTCCAGCACCTGGTGCAGAGGAACATTGGAAAATCACTGCAGTGAGAAGCTCTCACCTCCATGCTGAGTGTGATTTTTGGGAGCATTTGGTGTTTCTGGAATATATTTCTCGTGGCAAAGCACTTTTTTTGGCTACTGCCCGCCCGCATGTCCCACCTGAAGACGGGAAGCAGCACCGGCCAGCACTGGCTGCAGGGTCATTTTACCTGACAGATCTTTCCTCTCCCATTCAGGAACTGAAAGAGCCCCTCACTGACACCAAGTCCCAGCTGGACGCCACCGCCTTCGACATCCAGTTCTTCATCTCGGAGCACGCCCAGGACTTGACGCCCCAGCAGAGCAGGCAGCTGCTGAGGCTGCTCAATGAGCTGCAGAAGGCGTTCCGGGACCTGTCGGAGCGCGTGACGGCGCGGGTGGAGGTGCTGCAGGTCTGTCTCCAGCAAGCGGAGCAGACGGATCAGGTGAAGGTTGTGAGACATCTGCTCTCCCTGCCTGCCCTTTTGCTCGCTGAGGCGCTTTCCCGGCCGCGGGAGCGCACGCCGAGGCACCTCCCTGATCTGGGATTTGGCGTGCATGCCACTCACAGTTTGTGACTTCTCGTTGCACGTCGTGAGCTTCCTCTAAAAGTCTTCCTTCTTCCCACCATGTAGCTCCCAGGGGGAAAGTTGCTTTGCTCCCAAAAAACCTGGATCCCAAGTGAGGTCTGGGTAGCACAGCCCGGCAGCCCTCGTGGAGCTGCTTTGGACTGGATGGAATAAACCCCTGTAACCCCACCAGAAATCCCTGTGCAGAGGGGCCACCACAGATAACCCAGCAGTGTTAATGTCTTATTTCCACTGCACACATCAGGCATTGCTGTCCCAGGGAAAGAGCTGATGATGTATCGAGGACAAAAGCAAGTCCTCAGGCCCCTGCTGCATTGCTGCGGCACCCATCACTGCATGGATCCTCTTATTCCAGACAGGATTAATGTGTTTTTTATTAACAATTGCTCTCTGTAACTCTTGCCTGTCCTCTCTGGAGTGTGTGTGTGTGTATATTAACCAGTTTGCTTTGCCTTTTCAGATTGAGTGTGCGCCCATCCTAACCCAGGAAGAACTCGCTTTGCAGCTGAAGAGCTCTTAAGAAGGCTCTTTCAATTTGCTTCTGTTGTTTTTATCTTGTGACTGGGAGAAACAAGCACAGTGTTTTGCACAAGTTTGTACATCACCTTGCTGAAATGCTCAGTGAAAAACTCAGAAACCTTTTATCTCCCCTGGGAAAGGGGAACAGGGGTGTTGCAGGGACTCTCAGGTCACATCATGCTCAATTGCTCAAACAGGCGCTTCTGTGTTGTGCTCTGGCAGCAAAAGGAGGAGCTGGATCAGCTACAGAAATGCTTTCCCTCTCCAGGGCTCCTTCTCCAACCCCAAGATCATAAAAAACAACCTATTTGGGTTGTCTGGGGCTCCACAGTGGCGCTGCCTAACTCAGGTTGTTGTTACCTCTGATTTGATGAGTTTCTGCTGCTGTTTTAATGTCTGTAATGTGGAATGGAAAAGGCACAGAAACTTTTGATTGAGTTTTCCTGGGAGATCAGTGCAGCTCCACACTGGAGCTCAACGGGCTCCTCAGAGAGAAACCTGCTCGAGTGGTGGCAAACGTGCCACCAGGTCGGCAGGGACGGGGCACCTGCAGCCGGAGAGGGAGAAGGAGCACCTGGAGAGCCACCAAAGGCGTTTTCTGTGCTGCATCCTCATCTTCAGGAGCTGCTCCAGCTGTAATCCTTCACCTTGCCTTTCAGCAGTGCGAGTGGAGGTGCAGCACTGGTACTGACTGTCCCCTGTCCCCTTTCCTCTGCCCGCAGACGCTGCAGGAGCAGCAGGCAGCCCGGGCACAGAGCCTGGCCGAGCTGAGCCGCTGGCTGGGCCAGGCAGAGGACACACTGACAGAGCAGCAGAGAGCAGAAGGGGACCTGTCTGCCCTGCAGCAAAGGCAGAGTGATGTTAAGGTCAGTGCTGTAATTGAAAAAGCGGAGGGCAGGAGGTGGAGGGGCTCGGCGCTGCCGCAGGAGCACTCGGAGCCTGACGGCATCGTCTGCCCAGGAGCTGCAGAGGAACATCCACACCCGAGCCGCCTCCTTCGCCAGCGTCCTGAAAAGCACAGAGGAGTTTTTGGAGGAGAACAAGGCCAAGATGGAGCCTGGGGAGCTGGCAGCACTGCAGGAGAACCTGCAGCGTGCCAAGGAGCAGTACCGGTCCCTGCAGGAGAGGACAGAGGTGGCCCAGAAGGAGCTGGAGAGTGCTGTGAGTGCTGCAGTGCAGCAGGAGACTGAGAAGGTAATGTGCAAAGAGCTGTAGCCTCTGGGCTCTGCTTGAGGTGGACAGTGAGATCCAGTTGGAGTCGTTCAGGGTCCTGGCAGTTATCTGGGTGATGCAGCTTCAACCAATTTGTGGTTCCTTCCTGGGTGTCCCCCCAGGTGAGGTGTCCCCCAGATATTTCTGTCATGAAATGCCTCAAGAGTTGCAACCATGGATGAGCTGGTTGTGGAGGAAATGGGGGAGAGAAAGGCCCCTTGCTCTGCCTTTAGGGTGACCTTCAGTGGGAGTGAGAATGTCAGTCACCTCCCTGTGCTGGTGGTGCAGGTGATGCTCCCAGAGTGAGAAATACAGTGGAGCAGAGAGGCTGAGCTTATTCACAGCTTCTTTGCACCTTCTAGAGAGCCACAAAAGGGTTTGGAGATCTGTGAGTGTGCCTGAGAGGCACTTTGCCAAGGCTGGAAAACTCCTTGGGTTTTTTCTTGTCTTTTCCACTGCAGCAGTTTGCTGAACTTGCAAAAACCAGTTCATTTTATCTGGGGCTTTTGTGCTTTCAGGTGAAAGCTGCCAAAGAGCTGGAGGAGAACAGCAATAAGATCGATTTCCTTTTGAACTGGGTGGCATCGCTGGAGCAGAGGGGAGGGCTCCCGGAGTACAGACCTCACCCTGCCAAGCAAGAGACAGGGATGGGCTCTCGGGATGTTCCTGACGGGCATGTGGTTGGAGCAGACAGCACTGCCGGGAGCCTGGACGAGCACTACGAGAGGCTGAAGGTCAGGACTGACACCTCGTCCCTCTCAAAGCTTTCTGCCCCAAGCACTGACCCTGCCTCCACTGCTGGTGCAACTGGGAATAGGGCAGGGTGTTGGGTGCATCTGGCCTCTGGAACATGTGGTTTCCCATACGGGAGGCTTGGAAAGTCCCTGCCTGACTTCCTGGTGGGGATGCAGTCTGTGTGGTGGGTGGGTGCCAGGCAGGGTGTAATCAGGGTAACGAGAGAAGGTGCCCATCGTGGTCAGGGAAGGCAGAGCCCCTGTACCCCAAGCTGAGGGGTCCACCTTGCTGGCACTGTGCCAAAGAATCCCAGACTGGTTCGGGTTGGAAGGGCCCTTAAAGCTCACCTAGTTCCAATCTCCTGCCATGGGCACCTTCCACCAGCCCAGCTTGCTCAGGGCCCCGTCCAACCTGGCCTTGAACACTTCCAGGGATGGGGCAGCCCCAGCTGTCAGAGGGTGTGGAGGCTCAGTCACACTCGCTGTGGGCAGACACCCTGTGTCACAAAGCATCACCTTTGCTCACTGGATCTTTCAGGCCCAGCACCAGGAGCTGCTGTCCCAGCAGCAGGACGTCATCCTGGCCACGCAGTCGGCGCAGGCGTTCTTGGACAAGCACGGCCACAGCCTGGCCGGGGAGGAGCGGGAGCGGCTCCAGGGCCAGCTGGGCGAGCTGAAGGACCAGTACTCGGCGTCCCTCTCGCAGTCAGAAGCGCGGCTGAAGCAGGTGCAGGTCCTGCGGGATGAGCTGCACAAGTTCCTGCGGGACCACGGGGAGTTCGAGGCGTGGCTGACGCAGGCGGAGCAGGACCTGGAGGGGATGTCCAAGGGGGACAGCGACCCCGCGGCCCTGCGGCAGCTGCTGGCGCGCCAGGGCAGCTTCTCCGAGGACGTGATCTCCCACAAGGGCGACCTGCGGTTCGTCACCATGTCGGGGCAGAAGGTTCTGGATGTGGAGGGAGCTGCTGGGGACGCCGAGCCCCAGCTGCTGATGGCCAAGGGCGTGGTCAAGAGCAAGCTGGAGGACGCAACGCAGAGATACACCACGCTGCACTCCAAGGTACGGGGAGGGCTTTGCAGGGCTGATGGCGGAGGGATGTTTCTCCTGAGTGTTTGGCTGGACTTTCAGGACATATGTAGATTGTAGGGCAAGGATTGTCTTTGTAGAATCATAGAATCAACCGGGCTGGAAAAGACCTCTGAGATCATCAAGTCCAGCCCTTGATCCAACCCCGCCGTGGTTACCAGACCATGGCACTGATGCCACATCCAGCCTCATCTTAAAAACCTCCAGGGATGGTGAATCCACCACCTCCCTGGGCAGCCCATTCCAGTGGCTGACCACTCTCTCTGTAGAACATTTTTTCCTAATATTCGACCTAAACCTCCCCTGGCACAGCTTAAGACCGTGCCCTCTATGTCTTCTTCAAGGCTTGGGCAAGGCAGCACCTTTTGCCTTGGTGTTGGTCTGCATGCTGCCTCATTGTAACTACTTTAACATGTGGCAAGATTAATTTTTGAATTATTTTTTTTCTTTCTTGACGATTTCTGTGCCTTTTCCGTGGGTTGCCCACGTCCTCCTGTCACGTCTTGTTGCTCTTTTGCAGTGCTCCAAGCTGGGCTCCCACCTGAACACCTTGCTGGATCACTACCAGCAGTTCCAGGAGGTGGCAGAGTCTCTCAGGACGTGGCTGCAGGAGAGTGAAACTGCCATTGGGAAGCTGCTCTCGGAGACGGTTTCTTCGGATCCGGCTGTCCTGCAGAAGCAGCTCGCCAGCACGAAGGTACAGGATCCTTTGGTGACCTCCTGGGAGGTGTTTGAGCCTGGATGGGAATTTGGCTGCACTGAACAGTCAACAGCAGGAAAGAGACTCTTCCCCATTGGCTTTTTTTTGTTGTTGGAGTGCAAAGATGCACCTGCAAGTGCAGCAGGTCCTCGGGAAAGGTGCTCAGCCAGGACCTGGGGCTGCAGTCACAGACACCCCAGCAGGACATAGAGGGGGACATTCCTCCCCCATGAGGGGGACTGGGTGCTGGGACAGCCCAAACCCTCTGATCCAGCTCTGCCTGCAGCATGGGATTGGACTTTCCAAGCTACCTTATTATTTTTCTTAGTAATTTAGTGATTAGGTGAAGAGGATGCCTCAGAGGGTTTAAATGGAGCCCTGAGCTCCATTTGTGAGTGGGGGTCTCCTGCCTGTGACTCATCACTGATTTTGGCTTCTTTCTTGTCAAAGCAGCAGCTGCAGGGAGACCTGGCTGAGCACCAGGTGCCAGTGGAGAAGCTCCAGAAAGCAGCAAGGTCCCTGCTGGAGATACAAGGAGAGCCAGCCCCTGACCATGGGCATATTCGGGAAACAACAGGTATGGAGCAAAGCAGCTGCCATTGTTAGCAGGGCTGGTTGGGGAGAGTGAAAACAAACCATGGAGGGAGCAGAGATGAAGTCTCCCACTTTTGGGAGAGGTAAACACACAGCAGTGCATCCCTGGGGCTCGTGTTTGCACTTGGGAAGGGCTGTGACAACATGTGTTGGGTCCCCTGTCTCACTGCTGCATTTGGGGGCAGGAGTTTGTTGTCAGTGAAAGTTTTGGAGGAGCCAAGGGTGGCCCCTGCTGCTCTCTGAGCACTTTGAGCTCTTTGTCACTGATTTGTCACTGATTCTCCTCTGTGAACTCTGCAGATGCCATCGTGAGCCGGTTCCAGAGCCTCTCCCAGCAGATGTCCGAGCGCTCGGACCTGCTGCAGAAATCCATCGCCCAGTCCCAGAGCGTCCAGGAGAGCCTGGAGAGCCTCGTCCAGTCAGTGGCTGAGATTGAGAAGAACCTGGAGAGAGACCAGCCAGCTGAGCTCTCCTCCACCTCCATCCAGGACTCGCTTGCCACGAGCGTGGTAAGGCTGGGCCCAACTCCCTCACCTCAAACACACCCATGCAGGAACTGCACCACGCAGGGGGTTGCTGGGGTTCAGCTACAGTGTTTTGAAACCTCCAAAAAAATCCTAAAAGGGGATATGAGCAGAACCTTTGCTTAATATCACAGAATCACAAAATGATTTGGATTGGAGGGGACCTGAAAGGCCATCTTGTTCCAACCCCCTGCCATGAGCAGGGACACCTTCCACTAGACCAGGTTGCTCCCATCCAACCTGGCATTGAACACTGTCAGGGATGGAGCATTCACAGCTTCTCTGGGTGACCTGTGCCTGTGCCAGGTCACAGACTTGTTGGAAGTCTCCTTTTCTCTTTGCTAACAAGTAGGGATTGGATTTCAGGCACCTGAGGGAATGCAGACCAGGTTGGGGAGATCAGAAAGGGAAGGAAAAGTGGGGTAGAAAAAACTATTCTTTCCCTCCCCTGGTTGTCTCAAAGCACATGCTGCTGCCCCCAAGGTCAGCCCAGCCTAATTCACACCAGTTTTGCTCCAGAACCTCCCTAAAACGCCCTCCTTCTCCGTGTGTGCCCACCACAGAAGCTGAAGCAGGACATCGCCCGGCAGAAGAGCTGCCTGGAGGCCACCCGGGAGATGGTGAGGCGGTTCATGGAGGCAGCAGACAGCCCCACGGCCTCCGCCCTGCAGGGCAAGCTGGCCGAGGTCACGGAGCAGTTTGGGAGGCTGTGCCAGCAGCAGCGGGAGCGGGAGGATGCACTGAAGGGCCTGCTCCCCAAAGTGGAGCAGTTCGAGCAGCTCTCGGAGAAGCTGCAGCAGTTCACGGAGAGCAGGACGCGGATGTTGGCGTCCGGGAACCAGCCCGACCGCGACATCGCTCACTTCTCCCAGCACATCCAGGTGAGGAGCAGGATGGGGAGAAGGCTCTGCCTGTGTTGGGTTTCTGAGGCAGGACCCAGGCTGGCAGGAAGGAACCTTAAATATCATCTCGTTCCAAGCTCCCTGTCATGGGCAGGGACATCTTTCACCAGACCGGGTTGCTCAGGGCCTGCTCTTGAACACTTCCCGGGATGCCATGGGTTGTGGTGGCTGGTCGTGGCTGTGCAGGATTCCTCCCTCTGGCTTCCTACAAGTGCTCTGGCTTCCTATACAGCCTCAGAAATGCCCTAAGGTGGCATAAAACCAGACACTTATGCTGGGGGGAGTGATTTGGCTTAGTCTAGGGCACCCCATCCCATCCCAGTCACAGTGCGGCCTTACACCAGCACAGGGGAAGGTGAGACTTGCTCCTACAGCTCCTTAAAGTATTTGCTGAGCTGGATTTGGAGGAGCAGGTGGGAGTGGGTCATACCTGGCACTGCTGCAGTCCATGGCACTGGAACCATCCACGGCACTGCCCACAGAGGGTCTCTCCAGCTCACCAGAGTGTGGGACTGTCCAGTTCATCCCCTCTGCCTGTGTCTGCTGGTGGGGAACACAGTCAGCATCGCCCTCTGCTCTTGGCAGGAGCTGAATTCAGAGATGAGGCAGCACCAGGAGGACCTGGCCACCCTGGAGCACCTGGCTGCGGAGCTGAGCTCCTGCGGCTTCGCCCCTGGTGCCTTCCAGCAGCAGGAGAAGCTGCAAAGCCTGAAGAAAGACTTCCTGCAGCTACAGAAGGTGGCAAAGGAGAGGTGAGTCCCAGGGACCCGGCCACTCCCCAGAGAGGTGAGTTTGGGGGGGGCTTCATGGCCTGAGCAAGACCCTGTGGAGGTCTCCTCTCCAAGGGAGGGCACGAGCGAACTCTTCCTGCCGCCCTCCTCCCACACCAGGAGCCGGAGGCAGCTTGATCCAGCTGACGCTTTAAAAAAAGCCCTGACTGGGGGCGTTGTGAGAAATTCCTGGTGCTGCAGGAGCCGGTGTTACGCGTTTCCCAGGCGTGTGGGCTGCCTCAGCTCCACCCCAGAGCATCTTGCAGGCAGAGGATCAGGAGCCTGGCCCAGGAGGGGACAGAGCACAGCAGAGTCCCCTGAAGTTGGGATAAAGCCGAGCTTGAGCTCGGATTGGCTTGAGCAGGGTCAGAGCAACAGCATCCCTGGGAGGGGTCACACCTCTCTGGGTGCATCCCTGGGGAACACAGGGAAGGTGATGGGGGAAAGCAGATGAAACTCACAGCAATCCCCAGTAATTCTGCCCTGCAGGCTGCTCGCAGCTGCAGTCAGCAAGGACGAGCCAGAGGGGCCCGTGGCTCCCATCTGGGGGCTGCCTCGTTCCTCCAGGACAGGCTGAATAGATGGAGCTGTGGCCAGGGAAGGAGGGGCAGCACAGCCTGGGCTCCCCAGGGATGCAGCTGCCTGGGGGGACACGACATGAATGAGCCCTGTCTTCCCAAAAGCTTCGCTTTTCCCAGGACAAAGAGCCCGGTGCAGAGGCAGAGCAGGTTGGCAGTGGTGGTCCCATGGCTGTTGGCTACCACTGTGCTGCCCAAAAGTGCCACCAGCCACGATTTGGGGGGTCAGCAGCAGTGAGAGGCTGGCACTGCCTGCACCCCGTTTTGGCTGGCACTGCCTGAGCTGTTCCCAGGCAACATCTAATAATAATAATAATTAAAAAAAGGGCTCCTAGAGACACAACTGTGCTGCATTCAGGAGGGGGTAATTGCAAGGCAAAGCACGAGCTCTGACTCTCTGAAACCTTTTCACTCTTAGAGAAAAGGATGCGTCGTCCTGCCAGGAGCAACTGGATGAATTTCGGAATCTGGTTGCTGCCATGAGGAAGTGGCTGAGGGAGAGTGAAGGCAAAGTGCCGCCTGCTGAGACCTCCCTGGGCACCCAGGAGCTGCACCAGCGCAGGCAGCAGATCCAGGTGGGCAAAGGGAGCTGGAACCTGACAGGGAAAATTGGCAACCGGTGTGTAAATGCCGGAACGTGAATAAATCCCAGGAAGCGGAGTCCTGGGAGGTGGTTTGTGGTCTCAGGAATCCTCACTGTGCTTGAGGAGAAGGGAGCAGCCTGAGATTCCTCTCAGGCACTGCCTGGCTTCCCTTCCCTCCCCCTGCCTGCTCTGGGCGGGATTTGGGAGTGGGAGACCCAGGCACACTGGCTGTCTCTGAGTGTTTCCCCGTGGCAGACGTGGAAGGTGGCCTCCTGTCACCCGAGCCCCCGCTCCCCTCCGGCACAGGGATGCTGTAAATCAGGATGTGCCAAGGGATTGACTCAGAGGCAGAGCAGCTCTGCTGAGTCACCCACATCCCTCGCACCCCACGGCACCCGCCGGGCTCCGGGCTGGGCTCAGCCAGGCTGGGCTGTGCAGGGAGGAGGAGGAGGGACGTCCCCGAAACGGTGGGAGGGAGAAGCTTTCCTTCAACAGACCCATTAGTTAAGGAAGAGCTTTTCACTCTTTAATTCCCCTGGCAAAAATAGATGTTTCACACCCACTTTTCCAGCACAGCCTCTTCGCCACGCGCTGGTTCCCTGGGTGCTGTGTCCTGGTGCCACCGGTGTCGCCTCACAGGTGACAGGCGAGGAAGGGAGGGCTGTGGCTGGGCAAGCACGGCCTCCAATCCCAACCTTTGCTTTCGAGCAGGATCTCCTAGAGGAATGGAAGGGGAAGGGGGCCCAGGTGGAGGAAATTGGCCGCAGAGGGACCCTCCTGGAGAACCTGATCGTGGAGATTACGGCCCCCGACACCCCACCCAAGGCAGGTGAGTTGTAGCCCACTCTCCTGAGGACACCTCATTCCTCAGCACTCTGCTGTCTCCACTGCATATTCTGAGCCTGCCTTGAGCAAAAATGGGGCTATTTCCCCCTTTTAGCCAAATTTGGGGGGCCCATGGCAGTCTGAGTATCGTGGGGCTGAAAGTGGTTGAGTCGCTGGTGCTTGTTGCATTAATGCAGCAGCCTAACTTGGCTTAATTAGTTGTAGCCTAACTGTAGCTCTGAATTACCCTGTCTTTGCTGTGGGACACACAGAACTGCTTGGATGGAGCATGAGAGCTCCATGAGATGGAGCATGAGAGCTGGGGGTCTGGGCTGTCAGCCCTGCAGGGAGCTCGTGGAGGTGGCTCTTTGCTTTCTCCTGGTGATGTGCTTCAGCCTCCTGAGAGCTGGAGTGTTTTAATCAAACTCCAGCATTTGGGTTTCATATCTGGATGACATTTAAGGCTGTGATATTCAGATGTGATTTGCTGGTCTCCTTTTTGGCTTCAAGTCTGTGAAGCAATGAGATTACGTCTGGTTTGTTTGGAAACCAACTCCGAGATGTCTTCCAGCTTGTGAAAACAAGTCCCTGGACTCTCATTGTTGTTGGGAATTCATGGGAATTCACGGTCTGGATAAGTTTGTTAGGATTAAGCTCATGAGCAGTTCTTTGGGAAACCTCCAAGAGAAGTGAGGAGAGTTGTGAGTTACTCCCATGGTCACCCACATGGGGTGACCAAAGGTGCAGCCCCTTATATCCATGGAAACCTTAAAAAATGTGGTTAGAAAGAGAGAGAGACTTACCTGGCAATGTGAATCCCCCTTTGGTTGTGACCATGGCTGTGATATCTGGTGTCCAGGGAAAGGACACTTGTGCATCCTCCATGGAGCATCTGGGCAAAGAGAGCACCAGCCTCACAGGGTGTAATTCACAAAATCATGCTCAGGGTGGCAACTTTGCAGGCATGGAGAGGTGGCCAGTAGTCCCCAGTGGTCCATGCAGGAGCTGCATCCACCCGAGTTTCTGGGTGATGTTGGGAGAGGTGCCCAGCTCCCAGCAGCTTCAGCTCTTCTGCTTCTGGTCCAGCAAGGCAGGAGGAGGTCCAGGAAAGCAAGAGGAGTGGGAGGAGGAAAGATAAAGGGACTCCAAACCAAATTAGTGCCACTTGCCCAGTGCCAGGCATGTGGAGACACCGTTGTGCTTGGTGGCTGGCGTGGTCCGTGCCGTGGACCGCGTTCATCGCTTGCTGTCTGCATTCCTAACACACCTGTCTTATCCCCCTTGTCCCTTGTCTCCGTCCCCCCTGCTCAGGTGCCGCACTGCCCGTGCCGGGAGGGTCGGTGGGCAGCGTGAACGGATACCACACGTGCAAAGGTGAGCTCGCGGTCCCCGCTGTGCCGGCACGCGCCCCCCCGAGCCGTGTCCCTGCCTGTTCTTGTCCGTGCCATTCCATCTGTGAGAACAGAAACCTCAATCTGACACTGTCAGCATCCCCGGCACAATAGGAATGAGCTTGGCAATGGGGTGGGAATTCTTAGCTGGAGCTGCGGTGATGGAGGATGGAGGTCAAGGCTGAAGGACGCAGCGGGGCGGCTTTGGGGAGCGACAGCACCCTGACACCCCGTCAGGTGGTGTTAGGAGCTGATAAATGGCAGATCATTTTAAGGCCTGCAATTAAATTTATTGGTTCCACAGGATTATAACGGCATCCAGCCCTCCAGTTTGAAGAGCAGTTTTAATTATGGCCCGTTATCTGCTGTTAGCTCACCGGTTCAGCGAGATAATAGGGGCATAAAAATGGCTTTATATTTCGGTGTCAAATTGTTTAACCTTGTATTAGCAGTGGCATTATGAAAGGGGGGCTCAGCTTGCATCAGGCTCACATCCACGGAGGCATTTGCTTTGTTTGCAAACTGTCAGTGTGTATGTGTGGTGCAGGTGGAAAAGCCCCTCTGGCAGGAGAGGTGAGGATGATGTGACATCGCTCCGCAGGCAGACGGATGGAGCATGGCCTTTTGCTTCTCATGCTTGGCTGGCTGTGGCTGCCCAGGGCTAGATTAGAGCCTGATAGTCCAGGTTAAGGTGGAGAACAGGGGCAGTGGTCTCATCTCGGGCTGCTTTTTGGAAACAGATCTGACCGAGATCCAGTGCGACGTGTCGGATGTGACCCAGCAGTACCAGGCCCTGGGCACGGCGCTGAGGGAGCGGCAGCAGCAGCTCTCAGCTATGCTGGAGAAGATGCAAGAGGTGCAGGAGGAGGCCAGCTCGATGCTGAAGTGGCTGGAGTCGAAGGAACGGACGCTGTCGGAGCTGGACGCCTCCTCCTCGCCCACCAAGACAGAGACAATGAGAGCCCAGGCTGAGCACAACAAGGTAACTCCTCTTCCTGAGTTAAAAATGAGACTCATAGAATCACAGAATGGTTAGGGCTGGAAAGGACCTTAAAGATCATCCAGTTCCAACCCCCTGCCATGCATCTCCTGAAGGAACTCGGAGATGTGCTTTATTGCAGCAGGATCAGAAGGATTAGTCATAAAGGTCTGCCCTGGGTTTAAGAAGGGCATTCCCAGATCAGAGATCCCAGGCAGGTCCCTGGAGCAGGAGCCCAAAGTTCTCCTTTGCTTTTAGACGTGCTGCTTTCAGACATTTGGCTCAGGGGAAAAGAGCTTATCTGGAGCCCTTGTTGCTGGGTCACTCCAGCTTCTCCTGGAAAGCAATTCCCAGCCTTTCCCTGCTCTAGGAGCCAAGTTAGCTCACAGTATTGCTGACATTAAAATTAATTTAATTAAAGAGCAAAGAACAGAAATCATCCAACTGCAGCTTGTAGCTGCTGCTTTGTTCCCCCTCCATGTTTTGATCCTTTTGCCCTGTATCTGAGGAAGTTCAAATCATTATTTTCCAGGCATTTCTGGCTGAATTGGAACAGAATTCTGGGAAGATCCAGAAGGTAAAGGAAGCACTTTCTGGCTTGCTGGAGAAATATCCAGATTCCCCAGAAGCAGCGAACTGGAAGAAGATGCAGGAAGACCTGAGTAAGTGCCTGAAGCACTTAGTGAGGCTTCTGTCTCCAAACATCACGTTAGAAGCGGTTCAGGAGTGCGGGACAATCCCAAAGTCACAGCAGAGCAGAGTCACTTCTAATTAATATTCAGTAAATAACAAACTTATCTCAGAGCTGTCTGGTGTACAAGGTGTTCCTGAGAGGAGCACTGTTGTGATTAACAAAATCTCTGTGATGGATGTGGATTTTAAAGATGTGCCTCCTTAAATTGCTGCTTAAAAAAAAAAAAAAAAAAAAAAAGGCAAAAAAAAGCACGTTAGTGACATGGGTTGAATAGGTTGAATATTGTGATTAAAAGCTTCACTGCTTGATATAAAATTCTAGTCATTAGTGAGGCTATCCCACGTAATTAAATGTTGAACTAAACAAGGCTGTGTGTTTAAAAAGAAGCCCAGAGATTCTCTTCTTTGAAATAGCAGGAGCGTGTTTATGGAGTTCTCCGTCCAGGAGATCTGAATGTGCTGTGTGAGGACTGATACACATGAGAGTATCCTCATTTATCGAGCCAGGGATGTGAGATGGCTCACCCAAGGTCAGACCAGCTCATGGCAGTAGTGACTAGAGCACAGAAATCCTGCTTGCAAGGCTTTTTCTTGGGAGCTTCAAGACCACGTAGCCATTAGAGCTGGGTAACGGCTTGTTAGATAGAGAGTCAATAGAGCCACGCTAGTTTTATCAGAAAACTGAGGAGGTTTCCCATGGGGAAAACCATGGGAAAAGGGGGCAAAAAAACCTGCTTGATGGAGGGGTGGGCTGGCCAGGAGCACGACCATGGCCAACACAGCCGGTGCTTCAGATTGCAGGTGGGAAAGAGCCAGCCAGGCGACGGCCGAGCGGCAGCAGAAGCTGGAGGAGTCGGCAAACCAGCTGGCCACCTTCCAGGCTGCTGAATCCCAGCTGCGCCCTTGGCTCATGGAGAAGGAGCTGATGATGAGCGTGCTGGGACCCCTCTCCATCGACCCCAACATGCTGAACGCACAGAAGCAGCAGGTCCAGGTGAGACGGGTTCGCATCTCCACGCTGGGTGTCCGTGGAGGGGGAGGGTGTCTCATCCAGATATGAGGTGGAAGATTGCAGCTGGAATTATTTGTCTTGCAAGCACTCTGGAGACCTCATGGCTCCTCTCCCAAGTCCTCCCAGCTGAGCCCAAACTGCTGTGAATAACTTTAAATGGGTGCAGTGCCCAAACTCCCTTCCCCGCACTGGATTGACTCATCAATGAATCACTTGGCCCCTCTTGGAGAGTGAAATTGCTTTAAACAAGACCTGTGCTGATGCTCTGCAGGACTTGCTAATGCTGCCCCTCCTCCTGCCAGCCTGCTCTTTCCATACCTCCTGCTTCCAAATCCTAACATGTCCGTAACAGGCCACATCATGAAGCAAAAAGCCCCAGTTAACATAATCAGATTGCCTTCTCATCTAACTGGTTTATGTTACATTACACAGCAGTAAGACAAACAAGAGAGAGAGAGCAAAGTCCTGGAGCTGCAGACCCCTCCCAGCTTTTTAGCTTCCAAGGTCACAATAAATCCTGGCCTACCCAGCCCAATGCCTGTCCCACCCCAAGGCTTGTTCCTGCTGATTCCACGGGCTGGATAAAGCCCCTGGAGGTCTGGTTTGTTTTGACTGTGTGTATTCTGAGCTGTCAGTTTTATGCAAACATTTTTATGTTATTTCTGTTCCAGTTTATGCTGAAGGAATTTGAAGCCCGCAGACAACAGCATGAGCAGCTCAACCAGGCAGCCCAGAGCATCTTGACTGGCCCTGGAGATGTTTCTCCATCCACTAACCAGGTGCGGGATGAGCTCCAGGGGGTTAATCAGAAATGGTCCGAGCTAACGGAACGCCTCAACTCCCGCTCCAGCCAAATCGATCAGGCCATAGTAAAGAGCACCCAGTACCAGGAGCTCCTCCAGGGCCTCTCAGAGAAGGTGAAGGCAGTTGGGCAGCGCCTGAGCAGCCAGTCTGCCATCAGCACACAGCCCGATGCCGTCAAACAGCAGCTGGAGGAAACCAGTGAGATCCGCTCGGACCTGGAGCAGCTGGAGGAGGAGATTGCAGAGGCCCAGAGCCTCTGTGATGACCTCTCCGTCCTGATTGGGGAGCAGTACCTCAAAGATGAGTTAAAGAAACGTCTGGAGACGGTGGCACTTCCTCTCAAAGGGCTGGAAGATTTGGCAGGTGAGACACTTAGGGAATATTGGAATGTCGAGCTCCACCCCTGCTCTTTGCCAAAGGGCTCTCCCATCACTAGATTTCTAAAAGTAGTAAGGGAAGCACCATTTATCATTTTGTGGGGTGCTTCATGGGTGTTTTATCTGGGACCAAGCACGGGAGAGTCCAAACTCCAGACATACCTGAGCCTGGAGAGGGAACAGAGGTGTTTTAGTCCCACTGATGTGACTCTTCAACAACCAGTGTGGCACATGCTTGGAAAAAAAACAGGTTCCTAAATTCAGAGTGGGGCATGGAGCGGCCCCAGTGGCCACTCTCTAATCTGGGGATACATCTTCTGGTTTCTGAAAGATTACATTTAGAGACTGGTCAGGAGACCCAAGACAACCACGTTAGCATTGCCTCTTACTACTTAAGAAATTTATGAATCAGTGAGCAAAAAGGCTGGTGATGCAATGGAAAACTCCTTCCTGTTAATCAAAACACAGTTGGTACATTTGAGATGATTTTAAATAATTGCACTTTGCTTATTTGATTTCAGCTTAATTGTCGCCTTCTAATCTTATTCCCATTCCAGCCGACCGGATGAACCGACTCCAGACTGCGCTTGCGAGTTCCCAGCAGTTCCAGCATATGTTTGATGAACTCAGGACCTGGCTAGATGACAAACTGTGCCAGCAAGCTCAGAGCCAACCGATTTCTGCTAAACTGGAGAGGCTACAGAGCCAAATTCAGGAACAAGAAGAGTTCCAGAAGAGCCTCAACCAACACAGTGGCTCCTACGAGATGATTGTAGCCGAGGGAGAATCTTTGCTGCTCTCAGTCCAGCCTGGGGAGGAGAAGACCACTCTGCAAAACCAGTTGGTCGGCCTGAAAACACACTGGGAAGAGCTCAGCAAACAGGCTACTGATAGACACTCTAAGCTCAAGGACTGTTTGCAGAAAGCTCAGAAGTACCAGCGGCACACGGAGGATCTCCTGCCGTGGGTGGAGGACTGCAAGGCGAAGGTGGCAGAGCTGGAGGTAACTCTGGACCCAGTGCAGCTGGAGGCGACTCTTCTGAGGTCAAAGGCCATGCTGAGTGACGTGGAGAAGCGCCGGTCCTTGCTGGAGATGCTGAACAGCGCTGCCGACATCCTGATCGATGCTTCCCAAACGGACGAGGATGACATCCGGGATGAGAAGGCTGGCATCAATCAGAAGATGGATGCCATCACAGAAGAGCTGCAAGCCAAGACTGGCTCCATTGAAGAAATGTCCCAGAGGCTCAAGGAGTTTCAAGAGAGCTTCAAGAACATTGAGAAGAAGCTGGAAGGGGCGAAGCACCAGCTGGAGATCTACGATGCCCTGGGGCCACAAGCCTGCAGCAACAAGAATTTGGAGAAGCTCAGGGCACAGCAGGAGGTGCTGCAGGCCCTGGAGCCACAAGTGGATTATCTGAAAAACCTCACTCAAGGTCTGGTAGAAGATGCTCCAGATGGATCCGACTGTTCCCAGCTCTTAAGCCAAGCTGAGGTGGCTCAGCAGGACTTCAAGGCCGTGAAGCAGAAAGTGAACGACTGCTGTGCGCTCATGGAAAACAAGCTGGAAGGGATCAGCCAGTTCAACAGTCGGGTCAGGGAGATGTTCTCTCAGCTGGCGGATCTGGACGATGAGCTGGACAGCATGGGCCCCATCGGGAGAGACTCCGACAGCCTCCAGTCCCAGGCAGAGGACGTCCGCGCCTTCCTGGGCAAACTCCAGAGGCTGAAGGCGGACATCGAAGCTTCCGAAAGCGAGTGCAAGAAGATGCTGGAGGAAGAAGGGAGCCCTGATTTGCTAGGACTGAAACGGGAGCTGGAGACGCTGAACAAACAGTGCAGCAAACTGACAGAGAGGGGCAGGAACCGGCGGGAGCAGGTGGAGACGACGCTGTCCCGCGTCGAGGACTTCTACAGCCGGCTGAAGGAGCTGACCCACATGACCACGGCGGCCGAGGAGAACGAGGCCTTGCAGTGGGTGGTGGGGACGGAGGTGGAAACCATCAACCAGCAGCTGGCAGACTTCAAGGTAAGTCTTGATGCTCTAATGGTGGGGGTTTTTTTAAGTGGTATTCGGTGTTCTGAAGGTCTGTCTGGTGCTGCGGGGTTTTTTTGGTGTGTGTGTAGGACCTCTGGGCTCCGAGCCATCGCGCCTTCGTTGTTTGTTGCTGTAATTCGAGTGGGTTTGGTGTGCTAAAATAATTCCTTGCTCTGGAGAGTGTGTAAGATCGGCTGGTGGACTTGGTAGCCTGTGGTGAAAAGGTGCGGAAAGATTTTGCGATTGGGAGGAAAATCCCTGTTCTCCTGGGGATGTGTAATGTTGATGTGCCAACATCTCGTGGGCTGGTAAAGGTAGCTGACATTTAGGTTTTTTGGGGGAGGGAGAGAGGGATGGGTTTGAGTCCATCTGACCTGTGAGTTGGCGTCATTTGAGAGTCTAGTCCAGGTCAGATTGTTCTGCAGGTCTTTCTACCTGGCCTACCATTCTTGCTTGTTGCTCACTTCACCTGGGTCACATTTTACATCCATTTTGGAGTCCTTGGGTAAAAATAAAGCCACAGATAAACTGTGGGACAAGGGATACACACAGGAAGTAAAAACAAGGTTAAGTTTTATGTGGGCTGTTCATGTTTCCAGCAAGGTGTTGATGGAGACCATCAAGACCTGCATGAAATGCTGAGAGAGGGAAGAGTTGAAGTGTATTTGATATATTTTTATACAGTATTATGATGTTGGGCCATGCTGTTACACTACATTAATTATATTAATACAGCTTAGAAATTCTCTTGCTGTGAAACTTCTATTCCTGATGTGCTCAGGAGTTGATGATTGGGCTGATTTACATCTGGCTGCTCGTTTCCTGGTGTTAATGGGGGGTGGGAGGAGAAGGCAGTTTTGCAGCCATTTACTTTTCATCTCATGGCTAATTGATCCCATTCCACCACTTGAATACGTCTGTGAAACCTTCACCAGGACAAGGTGTTTCTGGTTTGGGGGGTTGCCTATCCGAGAAATAGCTGGAAGTGTTATTTATGGGACAAACTCCACCTCATCTGATGGCGTTGCTGTCTTGTGCTGGGCAGTGCTTTGCTTTGAGCTGATATCAGTGAGAAGGATTTAACTTCATCATTAAGCACCACACAGTCACTTGGAACAAATATATCCAAAAAGGAGTTTTTAGGACTTAAAATCAGTGGACCTTTCCTGCAGAGCAAGGGATTATTCCCGGCTGAGCAGCTCCCATTAGGAACGATGACGAAACCCAGATTGCTGGGCTGGCCGGGCTCGCAGGAGCAGCTTAACCCATCACAGGGGTTTGCACATGGTCTGTAGCTCAGTGACCTTGAGGATGACCCTGTAAGACACAGCTGACCTGGGCTGCATGAGCCAAGGGTGCTCTGGGGGCAGGAGGTGTCCTTACCAGGAGTCATTTGTTGGCCATCGAGGCCACTCGGTGCACTTGGGGTCTGTGTTGGTGGGAGAGTGAAAGTTGCAGCAGGGAGGGGAGGGTTTTGCTGTGTAATGGCTGAGAATGAAGTGGGGGAGAAGCACGAGGGGCGGATGGAGCAATCGTGGTTACGCAGCAGCATTCCTCCATTCCTCCCATGCACGGTTGATCCAGGGAGCAGGGATTTCTGCATCCAGGGAGCAAGGATTTCTGCACAAATCCTGAATGTTGCACAGCAGATCTTAGCAAAGCTTCACCTTCCAGTCCTCTCTAAGGAGGAACTGGAATCTCCCTGATTCTGATCTGCGCATGGAAGGGCATTGGCAGGGACTGTCTGTCCTCTGTACGTGCAGGAGGGAGAGGGGTGGAGAAATCTGGCTTGGACTTTGTGGGAAGTGGGGAGCGCAGGGGGCTTCTCTTGGCTGTACCAGGCTTTTATTTCTCAATGAATTGTCTCTCTAAGACAATGTCACAACTCTTTTTCCCTTCTTGGCTTGCAAACCAGATGCATGCCCGGAGTGTCCAGGGGGACCAGAGGAGCTCCTCAGCCAGGCAGTGCTCCTGGGGGTGGCAGCGGGGGAAGGATGGGGTGATGGATGGGGTGATGGATGGGGTGATGGGGGCTCTCCGGGAGCGGTCGCAGTCTGTCTGTCCAGGAGGCTCAAATGCAGGCAGATATTCTGCCTTAAGGCATTAATTTTAATGAACATCTGTGTAAATGAGATGCAAATTAGGCATGGCCCCAGGGCTCCAGGCAAGTTGCCAATGGAGTCCTGACAAAGGTGGGCACTTCTGGACTCATTGTGTCCAGATTTTAATAAAGAAGATATATTGAAGGCTCTGATGGAGGCTGGGAACAGATGACTTTTGAAGCAGCTTATATTTGAAGCATCCCATATATTTCTCCTTTTCCTGCAAACATCCCTTAAACTTGCCCCAATAAGGCCACAACCCCCAACAAACCCTTAACTTTTGGAAAACTGCCATCCATGCATTTCCTCTCTCCCCCCCAGGCCCTTTCTCAGGTCACAGAGGGACTAATCCTGGCTTTGGGAGGGATGAGCCCTCTCCCGCTCTAAGTTTTTCTTCCTGGCCGGGTTTCTCAGCGGTGGGAGGCTGGGAAGCAGCTGCTGGGGCTGGGGAGGCTTTGTGTGCAGGAGGTGTTTCGGTTCAGTGAGCGGATGCGATTTTGGGGATGGGACCACCGAGGGGCTGAGTCCACACCGGCTCCCACGGCCATCAGGAGCCAGGACAGCAATGCAGGAAGGACCTGGAGTTCAGGGGGTGGGGGAAAACAAGGCAGGGACTAGTTTAGAGCACCAAGTTTTTTAGAGGATCGTAAGAAACGCATCTGGAGGAGGCTCTAAGGGGTCATCTCATTTAGCCCCTCATTTTCTGATGAGATCAAGTGCAGCTGAAAGGCATTTCTGTGGTTTGGAGCCTGTGCTTATATGGACATCCTGATGGATCGCTTTGGATCCAGCAATGCCACAGAAGAAATAACATGGGGTTAGCTCATGTTAAGCTGTCAGAGCAAAGGAACCTCATTTTTAACTATCTTCAGCAGGAGTTTAACCCAAGCGATTCCCTTTCCATTGCTGCCTCTCTGAGGGGCCCCTTTTTTTGTATAAAAAGGTACTGAAAGTTGGAAGAATCTTTGTGCTGAGCTTCACAGGGCCAAGTTGTGCTTTTCAGCATGAGGGACAAGCACCAGCCACCAGCCAGAGCTCCTCGTAGGAGTTTTCAGGCTGGGGCACTTCTTCCCCCTCCCCTCTCTCTGCTGTCAGCTCAGGTTTCTCAAAGCTTGCACTAATATTAAATTTTAATGACTGGAATCAAATGAGCTACAGTTGAGATGTTACTAAACATAACAGCTTTGTTGATTCAGTTTAGCAAACAGCAGAATTCCCCAGGGAAGTGATTCCCCAGGCATGGATGAGAAGGGCGGGGGGGTCACATGAAGAACCAGGGGGTTTCTTCATCACATGGTCTCTGGTGTAAGCAACCCCTGAGCTGGAAAACCCTGAGTTAGAACCCCTTCCTCCCAAAAATTGTGATACTAATGGGATAAAGCTTGGTCTGCTCAGTGCAAGTGGTTCATCCTCCTTTACACACTGAAGAAGCAGAGGTGAGGTTTGCTGGTTTGGAGTTATGGTGCCAGAAAGCCCCAGGCGTGGGCTTGTCCTGTCTGGCCAAAGAGCATCCATCAGCCTGGGCCCACGGAGCTGGTGGAATCAAATTCTTGGGTGTTTTGGGGAACACATCTGTGCTGGGCTAGCTTGGCCTCCTGGCTAAGCGAGCTCAAGCCTGGGCTTTGTTTATCTTTTACGCAGTGGATTTTGAACTTGGCGTTCAAAGCCTGGCTGGTGCTTGGTGTTGGCAACTCTGAGCTGGGACCTTCTTTGATTCACCATGTTGTTTTTGGACAAACTCTTAACGTTGCCACATTTCACCTACAAAGCAGAGAGTAACACTCAGTCCTGGGTCAAAGGCGCTGGCAGAGATTTTGGGGCTCGCTGCAGTGGAGAGCAATGCTTGGGAGTGAAGGATGCTGTTCCCTCCCCTTTCACAGAACCATGGAATGGTTTAGGTGGGAAGAGGCCCTAAGGATCATCTAGTTCCTAACCCCCTGCCACAGGCAGGAGTACCTTCCACTAGCCCAGGTTGCTCCAAGCCCTGTCCAACCTGGCCTTGGACACTTCCAGGGGTGGGGCAGCCACAGCTTCTCTGGGCAGTCGTGCCAGAGAAGAATCTCAGTTGGATCATGCCAGAATGGTTTGCTGTGCTGGGAACACCTTGTCCCTGTGAGGAAGATGAGAGCAGGATCAGCTCAGCCTGCATTCCTTCCGAGTTGCACTCAACAACCAGAAGGGATTTCTGCAAGAGCCCGGAGAACTTGACCCAAAACGTAACCCAAGGGAAAGCGTCAAACTTGACGCAACCCAACGGTCACCGCCGCGTTCCCGACGGGCTCAGGGGCAGTTGGTGGTGTGTCTGTGTGTGGCTGGGCCTCCATGGATTTGTTGTCCCCCTCCTGATGCTGCCCCGGCCCCACAGCTGCGCTTGGCCCGCGGCTGCTGCGGGCGTTGGGGCACGGCGGAGGAATGCGGCGAGCTGAGACCTGCCGCAGCTGGCACAGCCGGGACCTCTCCTCCCAGGGTTAATTAAACCCCACCCTGGCCCAGACAGAGAGGAGAGGGGGAGAGGAAGGGGGTCTGTCGCATCCGACCTTCCACGGGAGGTGCCTTTGCCGAGGCAGGTTGAGCGGAGCGGAGGGATGACGTGGGATTTCAGGCCTCCTGCCTTTCCTCCTGGTGTGGGGATTTTTGGGGAGGTTTATTTGAGACTGGAGTTGCTCAGTGCAGTGAACTTGCCAGTAAAGGTTTAGTGCTGGATGGTGGAGGGAGGGAGGGAGAATCCCTAGACAGCAATAACTGAAGCTGCACTCCCTTTTTATTTTAGAGCAGGTCAGGTCGTCCATGGCCCGCACAGCCCTTGCTGCTTCCAGCACCCTCTTTGTCTGCTGGAATAAAAAAAAATTCAGGAAAGGAATCCCGGGGTGGGGGGCGTGATGCAGTGAG